ACAATGACATTTACACTCAAATATACTTCTATATATACACACTATAAAGTTTAACCAATTCATTCATAGAGCAGCTTTTTGTTGCTCTCTGTGCAGTGGTGTCAAGTAACCACGGAGATTTCAAGTACTGTTCTTAAATACAATTCTGAAGGACTTGTACTTTACTAGAGTATTTTAATGTTGTACTACTACCCCACTACAACTCAGAGGTAAATCATGTACTTATACTTCACTACATGTATTTTGTACCATTAGTTACTTCACAGATGTGGATGAATGATGTGAAATATAACCAAGTGTTGAATCAGACTTTAGTTCCACCTGGAGTAAATCCACAAGCTACCCTGCAGTATACAAAGTCATTCAAACTAGCTGCACCTTTACCAGCTTTGAGAACACTTTCATGATCAATCATTATAAAACATATCGTATATATTACTCTGAAACGGACCAATCTGCACAACGACTACTTTTACTTTTGGTACTTTAAGTATATTTTGATGCAAATACTTTTGTACTTTTACTCGAGTAGCATTTTGATTGCAGGACTGTTACTTGCAGATTATTCCTACACTCTGGTACTTCTACTTTTACTCAAGTACAAGATCTGAGTACTGAGTAATATAGCTGTCCGTGTCATAAGGTCCAGGCCTGCAGCTCTGTCAACCTGTACAGAAGCTGTCAAACATACACAACCTGTAACAGACCAGTTTTAAGATATTTTACTACATTAGCTAGGCCTGATTTACGTTAGCCTCTTTGGACAACATCGGCTCTCATAGCTCAGCACCACTCTCGTTTAAGTGGTTAATATCTCAACTCGTAAAATTGAGTGACACTGTTTGCTCCCGCTCTCAAACGTGACAACTGAAAGCAGAATAATAAAAGGGTTTTAGGTAATAAACACACCTAAATCTAAGGGTTAATTAAATGATATTCAAGCCGAATTACATAGTTACTTGCATAGTGCTAAAGTGATGAAGTTGTGTTGTAAAAACTGTGTTTGTACGATAACTGATAATAAAGGTTGTTAAATGACTACTATTTATAAAGCAGTGCGGCGGACCCCCTCTTGTTTCAGCACTGAACGTACAGTATCAAAGTTAACGCTGGACAGCTAGCTAATGTAAGCTAGCTGAGAAACTCACCAACACCGCTTTGTCTTGTTCTGTCACTCGGGTTTGTTTCTTTTTTCCAAAAAGATTTCCCATTCTGACACAGCATCCCAGCTACGCTTTGCAGCCAGGGAAAGAAATGTGAAGGTGAGCTAATTTAAAACCTGTTTTCCTAACTTATAAGAGGCATGCTAGGGTAGCTTCTCCTCCATTATTTGTGTAGTCATCTGTTCTTCTGTTGTCCACACCCACATCAGGAAGGACGGAACCCGGGCAGGGTCAACAACTACAGGAAGAAACTCTAGAAAACCTCAGAAATCCCTAAAAATTAGTCATCAAATTATGTATTCATCATGAGAAATGCTTCGTTACCACTGTAAGCGTCAACATAAATGCATGTATGTTAAAATAAAGTACAAACAACGTGTAGAAACACCATAGTAGATGTACATGAGTGTTTATCGCCCTCCAGTGGTCACAAGTGAGAGCTGCAGTACAACATTGATCAAGCTAACGTCAAAAACATTCATATAAGTAGAGCGGGGAGAAGTATTTAGATATTGTACTTGAGTAAAAGTAAAGTACCAGAGTGTAGGAATACTCTGTTAGAGTAAAAGTCCTGCATTCAAAAGGTAACTCAATCAAAGTACTAGCATCAAAATATACCAAAAGTAAAAGTAGTCATTATGCAGATTGGTCCATTTCAGAATAACACTATAGGTCTATGTTTTATTAATGATTGGTCATTAAAGTGTTATCAAAGCTTTGGTAAAGGTGCAGCTAGTTTGAATGACTTTGTATACTGCAGGGTAGCTTGTGAATTTACTCCAGGTGGAACTAAAGTCTGATTTAACACTTGATTATATTTACCATAATTCATCCAGATCTGTGAAGTAACTAAAGGTAGGCTATTAAATACATGTAGTGCAGTAAAGTTATAAGATCATAAACGCCTTCATGGTAAATGTTACCTCAGTTCACAAGTAGAGGATCTGGTAGTAACTGAACTAAATACAACATTACATAAATAAAGACTGGCATTTTATGTAAAGGTATAAGTGACTAAAACCTATTATTTGGGTTTAAATAAGCAGAGTGGAATGGACAGTGGAACTAGAGCCCTGTTTCTATGGGAGCAGTGCAACACAGGGATGAATCTAGAGTGGCAGAATGTTCTGGCCTCAGTCCAGCAGAGAGCAGCAGAAAGGGAGGACACACTTCACAGCAGAGCTGAAAAACACTTTTTTATTCAACTTGTTCTGTTTTCTATTGTGTTGGGGAAAGAATACATTTACTATACCCACACTTCTCACTCAAGTAAATTACTTTTCTCTTCAGTGACTCTACTAATATTAGAACAGTGAGGTGTGCAGTTAACAGGAGATGAAATTGCTGGGTTTTTTTCTTGAACTAAACAATTTAAAGGGGTAAATATTGCTCGATCTGTTGCCTGAATTGGATGTGCACCAAATGGACGGCATTTGAGATGTTTTTAATGCACCACAGAAAACTTTATGAGGACTAAGAATTTAAAGTTATACTACATTTACCAAGAACAATGTGGTGCTCAGCAACAAAAAGCCACACATTAGGACAAATGTAACACACCATGAATTAATTAGCCTATTGATATTTAGTGATGTGGGTAGATGTATTTTTTTTTTAAATATCTAACTTTTTAGAAGGATGGGAACAAGCCTATTTCTCAAAATGTCAAAAATAATCCTTTGAATCGTTTATTTTTGTAATACTCTTTTCTGGAGAAGTGTAGCTTGGTACACAAGTTGAAGATTCAGGAGGAGAAGCAAAGACAGTGGAGAGAGGTGAAGGAGGAAATTATGACCAATTTTCAGGGCACACAACCATGTGCCGTAACGTAATGTAACGGCGTAATTACGCGCCGCAGACGGACCCGGGGAATAAATTCCCCCCAGTTTCCACCGGGTCCGTCTGCGTCGCGTTATGGCCGCGCTGCGGCGTTCGCAAAGATCGCGGCCACTCTAGTCAATGGGTGCTATTCCACCACACGCGGCGCGTACGGCTCAGAAGCGTCCCAGAAGCGTCTCGGCGCAGGGCTCCTCTAAAATTAGGATGAATCCTATTTTTTACGCGACGCAGCCGTAAAGTAATGTCGGGCAGGCAGGCAGTGGCGGTTCTAGACCAATTTGACTGGGGGGGGGGGGGGCAGTTATTTTCTGAGGGGGGCACAATAAATGCAGGGCGAAAAAGACAAAGACAGTATGAAGTAATTGCGCATACACCTAAGAAAACAATGCAATACAGTTATTGGTATTTGTTTCATTACACATTATTATATGCTTACCTTTGTGTGCTGTTTGGGTCTGTGGGACCCGTTTTCAGTGTTTACTAAAATAAAATGTATGCAATTTGATTATTTTAACCTGCTTTATTTGGGGGTGGACCTAACCTTCTAGGGGGGTCCGGGGGCATGCAGCCCCGGGAAGATCTGGTGCACTTTGAGCACAAAATGAATGTATGGATACAGCTCTCAACACTCATGAAAGCGAGCTGTATACTTTTCAATAATCAAAACATCTTTAGAATATGATCACAACCAATAACAAATCATTTAAACTTGTTAAAAACTAAATTCTTATCTTATGTTACCTATAGTTAGTATTCTTTCTTTTTATTTATGCATATTTTTAATAAACACTCCCCTTTCAAACAGTTATTTCTTTTGTACTGTCCTATAGTACACATTGGAATGATTTCTTTATTTTTTACAACACATTAAATAGATAAAGGTGTGCTCTCTCTAGCTCTCCCTCTCTGTCTCGCTCGCTCACAGAGGCTGTGTGCTCCTCCGTGGCGATGACGGCTTGCGTAAAAAAAAAAATATTTGTAAAGTGGGGGCTATTGAGGGCTTGCGAGATACCGGTAGCTCGTGATCGACGTGTTGGAGACCCCTGCTCTAATGGGTCCGACTAGAATGACAAATATCGTTACTTCTGCCTATTCCGTCAGCCAAGAAATCGTTTAATCATAAACTTATTATTATTATTTTTTTCATTTTTAGGGGGGCCACAGGGGGGTTTTATGGCTCAGGTTGAGCTGGAGCAGTTGTGTGCTTCATAGTACACCCCCCTGTTTAAAGTAACATGTTCAAATAAAAGCAGGCAAGTATGGAAGACGGGTTGGCCTATGACGGGTAAGATCCCCCTGCAGAACCTCGGGACAACCTAAGGCAGGCACAGCCGCGACTACTTGGGCTAGTTGCCTCTGTTAAAATTGACAGTGTGCAACTCTTTGTCTCATGTTCTTTAACAAGAACACAACACTCAAAGCAGTACAGAAAATGTCCAGAGACTTGTTTCTGGCATCAGCCCTGAAGGAAGTACATGAGGCTACTAGGAGAATCCTGAGTCCCATTAAGTATTGATTCTGCACCGATCAGGTCAGGCAGATTCTCCTCAAAGCTGGACTGGTGTTAATATGTTACCAATGATTGAGACAAAACTAAATGAGATCATATAACACACAAGAAAGAGTCAAGTATGGAAGATGTGCAAATGGACATCAATATTTGTTGCAGCTTCCAGACGTTCTAACCAATTTTGAATGAACTGCAAGAATTTGTGTTGCTCTTTTGGCTTTTATATACAGTATGTTAGATATAAAATGCAGGATTTGTATTTTAGTTTTGTTATATTTTAGTATTCTTCTTTTTCTCAAGGTAAATACCTATGGTTTTCACTCCTAAACTTTAGTGGCATGTTCTGCTTAACATTGTTTAAGGGTTTACTTGTTAATTGTCTATATCAAATTACATGTGCCCATCATTGCAGACAGATTGCTAGATGTGCAACATAATAAACTCACCGATGGTTTTCTTGTCTGTCGATAGAAAAAAAGACGAAAGAGTAATTTGGATTAACATTTATTCTTAAGAAGGTCGTGTAGAGACCACAGACTTCATGAGTGTCCATCCAGACATGGGGGACACAGGAGGAAACACAGCACAGAGCTAAACCACAGTCTTAAAAAAAATTAAATCAGTGCACAGATAATCTTACAAAGATTGCATAATATAAAGAAAAGTTATAACATTTCCCAGAAACAGTGCAATTGTACCACAAAATGAAACCCACTCCACCTTCATCGCCAGTTGCCTAAATGCTCCACTTCCACAGAGGCAAAGAATAACTTCTTCACGTTAAATACTCCAACTAGATGCTTTGTTTAAGGAGGCGGGGGTTAGATAAGTGCATGTTAGTCTGGGTGGCTACAGGTCACATGAATGTTAAAGAATGTTTGCATTTGTGAACCAAACCCTAACCCTACATTGCACTTGGGAAAGCAAATGTAAAATATAGACAGTGTATATATGACATCCAAAAAAAAACATCCATACCGGCAACACATAAATAAAGTCATGCAGAGGCAGTGTTTTCATTTGTCACATTAAAAAAAAGTACCAAGGCTACATGTTTGCAAGAAAATAGGGACAGCATTTACATAAAGTTTTCCCATTTAAAAAAAGACCTCAGGCATTACTCCCACTCACTTTCTCAAGCTCAGTGATTTGAAATCTTTAGTGTCTGTAGTGCATGATGGGAAGTCAATCGGCTACACTTACAAATGCTTCAGATGAACTGAAAATGCACAAGTCCTCTCGTACTTCAGCCCATGAAATAACAGGTTACAACGGCAAATGTAATGGGATAAATAAAAGCTGCAGCAAGCTCTGGTCAGAAAAGGTATTGAAGTTCATGATATTTCATATAAATAAGCATCTTATCTTCATATCAAAACATTTTCTTTTTTTAAATGTACCTCCAGCTTCTGCTCCACAGCTGCATTATAAGACCAACTTGAATCCATGAGATGAAGTTCTGACTGACAGAGGTGGACAAATCTAACGCACCTGGCAGTGTACCTCTGCTACACTTCCTCTGAAGATTAGAGAGGTTTGCGGCCACAGTCGTTGCTGCTGAGTCCACCTCAAGTAAAATATCTAATGGCAGATATCACCCTCCAAGGTCTGTATATGATCATTAAAAAAATAAAACTGAGCCGTACAAATCACATTTTTACAAATTCCCTTCAGCCTTCCTCTCACCTGAATGTCATGAAAAAAATTACTATTTATGTGTTTGCTGATGGGTATCGCACCAACAACGCACCAGCTTGTACAAACAGTAGATTATGCAGATACAGGCGCGGCCACACGAAGTATACACACACGACACGATACACACACCAAGAGGCTTAGATAGAGCTAACAAAACACAGCTGCGTGATTGAAAAATGGCACCAAAGTGAAACAGAGTGATGGGTTACAAACCCTCCTCTTAGCGGATGCCAAGCGTACATTCAGTTTTCAAAAGTCTCAGAGGACACGGCTCCAAAAAGCCCCGTCTGAATGTGAAGGCGACCACAGGCTCCGCCTCTAACGTGTGAGGTAATGGGCCCTGGCTAGTGTCTGAGGAGGGCAGTGTGCTACATGTACTGGTGTGCATATTCTAACACTCCCAAGCTATGGGATCTAGACCAAAGCTAAACCTGCAGAGAGGAAGGCCACAAGGCAAAAGAATCATCAGAAACCCTTCATCCAAACACCGTCTGTAAATAATCAACCTCCTCATGAGCGTGCATGCTGAAACACTCGGCCCTGAAGAAAGCTTACTGGATGTTAGTAAGATGTGCATGCTGGTGTAAAATGACAAGAAGAGACTCTGGGACTGAATGGATGAATAAACCTGTTAGTTAAGCAGGGGACTTGGTCTAAAAACTATTAATGCACGTGCTTTTGACAACAAAAATAAATTGTCCGTGTGAGGAGGTGTGTAGTTCGGAGATGTGCTGCTTTGGTACGGTCGTGGGCGGATCCCTAGTTCTGTTACAAAACATGTAAAAATTCACAAACACACCAAAACACCTGAAGAGACGAGCAAACACACTTACTGTACCGCTTCCCGCAGAGGAGGACGGATTACAAAGCATAAATATTATTTATATATTTTTTCTTTTCCCCTGTGAAGATAAAAAACACCGTTAGAAAGAGGTGTCGCATCAGCGTGTCGAAGACGCCCCTGGGTTAGTGCGACGCAGAAACACGGAGCACCAGTGGACGAGGGTCACACACATGCACGCCTCGAGAAAACAGCCCTGAACCCAGACACACACAGAAAGAGCCAGTGTGTGTGAAAGCCCCCACACATCTGTCCGTTCATTGGGGTGGGGGGTGGAAGGTGCGTGGAGCGGGCGGGTGCTGGTGTGGGCCCTTAGGCGCAGAGGCCCCGGCACGTTGGGACGGGTGAGTACGGCTCCTCTCAGGCTCACAGCTGGTGCACGATGCTGTCGGGGTGGGTGGCGGGCACAGAGCCGTCCTGACGGAGCCGCTGCCACTGGAACGTGGTGCTGAGGGAGCCCACCTCCTCCTCCTCGCTCTCCTGCTCCTTGGCAAACTCCATGAACACCTAGCAGAGGGGGAGGAGAGGAGGAGACAAAGGTTAAGATGCTGTGGAACACTTACAGATAATAACAGGTGGAATAGATAAGAGCTGCTAACAACTTTTATTAAAAGGTCCCCTATTTTACAGTTTTTCATCAATATATTATAGGTCTCAGATATATACAAATCATGTCTCTGAAGCAGTGCTGGAATTGGGCCGGTACTCACCGGTACGCAGTACCGGCACTTCTGGTTCTGACCCATGGAGTACCGGCACTTCTTGCTCAGTACCGGCATGCTGGCGGTACTCCGGTACTCATGCACCGTGCCAGTACTCAACACTCTCCCGCCGTTCTTATTATACATCCATATATATATATATACAGCCGCCCGGTACTCAGTAGATGCGTCATGAGGTGCCGAACGGACATTCTCATCGCTCTAACCGCTGGAGTTTCACAGCGGCTGTCAGCTGTTTACTCCTGTCATTCAAACAGAACGTGCTGGAGAGGGGGCGGGGCTTATCTTCTCCATGTAAATACTGTGGTGGAAACGACTATGTCAAAATTAACCTATTTGACCGTGATTTAATAGTAATACACGTTTCAAAATAATAATAATAATAATAATGCCGAAGTAACAACATACTGAAAACTGTTAGTAAAACCATGTTTTAATGCTTTACAATTTACATACCTAGATGCACGTGTGTTGTGTTTATGCAGTGCAACTCCCACCCAGTGGGTGGCTATGTAGAGTGATAGAACCGAGCAGGCACGCCCCCGAGAGAAGGAAAGCAAGTCACGTCACAAATTAGCATTTCTAAAATGTTAGCGTGGATTAATAAAAGTGCAAAAAGACAGCGGTTTTCGCCGGAAGAAACTTCAAATACAGAGAATGCTGTGCCTGTGTTGGAAATTGTGTCTGATGGGGAGCTTTCTTTGGTTGATCCTCCTGCTCCAAGTTCTAGTGCATTAGCATTAGCACTAGCTCCGCCGCCTCCTCCAGAGCCTCTAACGTTAGCTGCTGCTGGCGCAACTGCCACCACCAACACCGGGCAAAGCGATGCACCTGACTGCTGGACAACGGACCAGGTGCAATATTTTTGCAAGACCAATGCATGGCTCCTTCTTAAAGATAAGAAGCTAGGATGTCGGATATGCAGAGATGTCAAATCTTTGGGAATACACACTGGACAAGGACTGAAACTGTCACCTGAATGGGGTGAGTGTGCAGTGTCTCATTTCGGTGTTGACAAGGGCAAACAACAAGCTAGCCTGAGAAAAAAAATCAAAGAACATAAAGAATCACAAGCCCATGTAAAAGCTGCTGACATCCTTACATCTGCTTCACGTGAAACTATTCAACATCAAGTGCAGTCTATGCATAAATCTGAATTAGACACCACTATCAGAGTTTTTCGAACGGCATATAAAATTGGCAAACATAGCCGGCCATTCACAGACATGCCAATTGATTTGAATGTACAGAAACTGAATGGGCTGAACGTGGGCAGGGTTTTGCACTCCAATAAAACCTGTGGCGAAATCATCGACCACATAGCTCATGAGCTGAAGAAAAAAATGGCAAAAGACATTACAGAAAACCAAAGAAAACTCTGTGTTTTGGTCGATGAATCTACCACTATTAGTGGTAAAACGGTGCTTGTTGTGTGTCTACGCTCAGCATTAGCTGATGCTGAGCCCGAAACGTTTTTTTGGGAGCTGATCGAGTTGGATGGAACAACGGCTGATGACATCACAAAGGCGTTAATGGAGTGTCTTGGAAGAGATTTTAACGAGGACTTTTTAGGTCAGTTTTTCCGCAGTATGGTAGAGAATCTGAGACACAGAATGACTTCCACAACCTCCTCTCATGTCAGCACAAGAGAAATCCCATTACATGGCCGGGAGGCCCGGGACAATCAGCTAATCCAGGACATGAAAGTTTTCCATCCTGGAAGTTGGCCTGAAGAGGAGTTAGACGTACAGTATGGGGACGTAGAGGTGCTACGTTTGTGCGAAGTGCTGAAAGTGGACAGAAGAGAGACTGTTCAGGGCTTTCGCGAATACAAGGAAACCAGGGCATCCCGTACACCTGCTGCCATGGAGCCTCTACTGAAAGCAGTCCGAACCATCGCTGTCTCCACTAGTGAGTGTGAGCGGGCATTCAGCTGCATGAACGATATCCTTACTGCAAAAAGGAATGCTCTCTCTGTCAGCCGACTGTCCAGCCTGGTTTTCATTAAATGTAATGGACCATCACTAGGACAGTTCAATCCGGAACAGTATGTGAGGTCCTGGCTGGCAAAGGGAAGGAGAAGTGCTGATGAAAGAGCCTGTCCAGCTCCAGCCCCTGATACTGATGTCCCCAAGGCCTTCTGGAGCCTTTTCTAACAATGTGAAGTATATTGCAAAGCAGCTCACCCAGTGAGAAGACTTTTGGCATAATGTGCCGATTTGTACAGATCCTGGAGATAGAAGGACTTCAGACCAACCAGGGAGTTATCTGATCAGCTTGGTGTTCAATGTAACTCTTTACCATGGCTCAGACTTTGTTACTTGCAGTTACAGTTTCTCATTTTAGATTGTGCAAATTTTGCATTTGTTTTTACATGTTCTTTGTTCATGCTCTTTATCATTTTTCTGAGTTGGAAAGTTAGATTGCATCATAGTTTACTTTATACATATTTGTATTCTTCAGTGGTGAAGTATATTGCAAAGCAGCTCAGCCATGTGAGAAGACTTTTGGCACTTTTTCGTTTTTCGTTTTCTGAGTTGGAAAGTTAGATTGCATTCAAAATGTACAGAAATACTTAATTTTGTTAAAGCTTTTTATAAAAAATGCTTCTGACCAGAGCTTTGTTTCCTTGTCATTAATGTTGAACACCACCAGAGGGGCTCTCACCTGAAAGGTCTCTGCTTCATGTGTCTTCAGCAGAAGATCTAGACTTTGATTGCTATATTTTCAGTTAATATTGACCTTACTGAGCTTTAGCCATATCCGCTGCCTATCATAAAAAATGTTAAGTACAGTGAACCTTTCTAAAATATACAGTAGTAAAGAGACAAACCCACCAGCATTATAGTAGCCAAATTCTTGTTTGTGGGCTGTATATATAAAATTGACTTGAAAAAGTTGCTGATTTTAGAGTACTGGCACCTTTTTCATTCCAATTCAAGCACTGCTCTGAAGTGTTTGGCTCCAAACACCAAACAGATCATTGCAGCATTACCCATAATCCCCTCTGTTTCAGCTCTGTTTCCAAAGTGCTGATTCTCTGTCTGTAACTTTAGATGAAAATAAGGAGCCCCTCCCCACGCCCCTCCGAGAGACATTTGGTTAAAAATAACTCATTGGCGCTCTAGGAGGAGATTCAGGTGATAAGGTGGTGGGGGGGGGGGGGGGTTACCTTGGTTGCTGATTGGCTAATGGTTCCACAAACCAAAACATCGTTATGACATCATAAAGTGGTCAAAATCTGATCAGCTCATTTTCAGACAGGTTTTTATAGAAATGGATCAAAAAGAGAGAGAATCTTTTTTTCTGAAACTTTCAGAGTCTCTTTTCACAGAGGGGACACATGTTGATGTAGAAGAGACATGAAGAAGTGGATTTTGCATAATAGGTGACCTTTAATATATTAAACCCATCATTAGTACCGTATTGACCCGAATATAAGACGTTTTTCTTTTCCTAGGGAAAAAGAGGGGTCGTCCTATATTCGGGGTCTAGACTTTTCGATGTAATTACACAGTCACAAGAACAGATTGCCCCAAACGAGTGTTCCCCCAAGCGAGACACCGTCTTAAAGTACGGTAACAAGTACACGGCAACAGGAGAGATGGAGATGGAGAGACACAGCGACCAACTGGAACAAAGTGGCTCAAAAGTAAGACCAGTTAATAAACAAGAGAGGCGACCTTACGATGCCAATTCTAAGATAATGGTGATCAACCAAGCAGAGTCATCAAACAACTGTCGAGCAGCAAAGACATATGGTGTTACTGAGTGTGACGTTAAAAGATGGCAAGCCCAAAAAAAACGCCAGTTTTATAAAAACAGTCTTTAGAAAAAACAGATTTGATCTTCAAAAAGGCATTTTGAAAAAGAGGGGCCATCTTATAATCAGGGTCGTCTTATATTCGGGTCAATACGGTAATTCAATTACCACGCAGGAAAAGTCTTTCTTGTAGGCCTCCACGGCGAATGACGTGATTGGAGTAAATGGGGGCAGTCCAATTCTCACTGCTTAACAAACATGCATTTTAACTTAAACTTTTCTATTTTAAATATTTCAGACTGATCAGGATTTGCACGCTCGAAAAGCACCATGGCGCAGGCGTGAGAATGTCTATGTGGAAGAGTTTCAATCGTAAAACTTTAGTGAAATGCATGTGTTTGGGTAATAGTGATAATACAAGTAGATTACAGAGACTTGGATCAGAGTAGTGGAGAGTTTGTAAACGTGGCCCCGTTAAACCAATTCATTTAATTATTTGGTCATTGTGAATGCGCTGTGAAGTACTTGTATCATTAGGGTTTCATATTGGTCAAATATAAAGAAATAGGACCAAGAAAAAGACATGTCCAGTTGTTAAGTATGCACTGTTTAGATCCCATGATGAGACATGTTTTACCAACCCTGTCTCCTAAAAATTACGTTCCCACAGAACTAAACTGCATTCTCAATTACGTTTAGCTAGAAACGTATTTTCTCCCACGTTACGTTTCTTATGAACGTATCTTAAATACGTTTATTTTCTACATATCTTTATCATTTATTGTCTTGCTTATAATAATGATAATAGTCATTTATAAATATCATTTTAGAGCACACATTTGAAATCAGTAGGCGAGGCTGTAATTTCGCCAGCTGTTACTCTCCTGAGCGAAGCAGAAAATAATAGTTTTAACATGCCAAAAAGCTGCTGTGTCGTTTATTGCACCTCAAACATTAAATCAAATCCAGAGTTACGTGTTTCTGTAGGCTACTTCCTCTAAGAAGAAAGGACAGTAACAGAAGATCTCTGTGCCTTCAGGCTTGATCGCCATTCAAATGACAGCGTTGGTTTCCCCAAAAGTGGGCGGGCTGTAAAGTGACGTAGATTTTACTCTCATCTATTATTCACAACCATTCTATTTATTCTAACGTAAATTACATGCCAGTGTTTTATCTTTTTATGTATTTGTTTTTATTTTAAAGTGTATATGTCGGACTTTTTTTGCCGTCTGTGAGGAAAATAAATGGGGCTTAGAGCCTCAAAATACTGAAATCTCTTTCTTTTCACACAATACGTCTCCTTGCAGTGTCAATAGTAATTCGGCAGACTTTTATATTTGATCCAATTGGTAGATAAGTTATATTTACACCATAACGGTGCACAGCTGGTAGAAAAGGACTTGTAGTTTTTAAAGATATTACTGCTTTTCTTTGAATATAAGAATGTAAATACTGAGTTGAGAGAATAGTCAGGGGATTTGGGTGATGGGAGACACATCTATGGAATCACAATTTCAATAGCTTACCATTAAATGACGGATATACCTTTCTGTCTGTGATGTTTTACAAATCAGATATTAATGTGGAGAAGTAAAACATGAGAAATAATATAGCAATATCCTGTAAAATTATGTAAAAACATGAATACAACTACACATCTTCAGATGTCATACATACATAAGTGTCCTACACTAATAATACAAAGTTATTATTAGTATGCTGTGTGTACCTTGTGTGCACCGCCTAGTGGTTAAAGCACGTTATTGAATTATTTTTGTTGAATAATGTTATTTTTGTTGAATATAGTTATTTGATGAAAAAAATATTAAGAGTACATACTTTCATAGGGGGAAAGTAGAAGGTCAATGATAGAAATATAGAATATAAAAAATCAAGAAGATACTGTAAGTGATCTCTACAATAAAACAGTTTAGTGCAGAATGTACAAAGATATTAATATGAGGATGTGCAAAACAGGCAAACTAATTAAACTTTATTAACTTAATAAAGGTTAATTAGTTTGCCTGTTGTGCACATCCTCATATTAATATATTTTTCAATTCAATAACGTGCTTTAACCACTAGGCGGTGCACACAAGGTACACACAGCATACTAATAATAACTTTGTATTATTAGTGTAGGACACTTATGTATGTATAACATCTGAAGATGTGTAGTTTTATTCATGTTTTTACATAATTTTACAGGATATTGCTATACTATTTCTCATGTTTTACTTCTACACATTAATATCTGATTTGTAAAACATCACAGACAGAAAGGCATATCCGTCATTTAATGGTAAGCTATTGAAATTGTGATTCCATGGATGTGTCTCCCATCACCCAAATCCCCTGACTATTCTCTCAACTCAGTATTTACATTCTTATATTCAAAGAAAATCAGTAATATCTTTAAAAACTACAAGTCCTTTTCTACCAGCTGTGCACCGTTATGGTGTAAATATAACTTATCTACCAATTGGATCAAATATAAAAGTCAACCGAATTATTATTGATACTGCAAGGAGACGTAGTGTGTGAAAAGAAAGAGATTTCAGTATTTTGAGGCTTTAAGCCCCATTTATTTTCCTCTCAGACGGCAAAAAAAGTCCGACATATACACTAATTTACGTTAGAATAAATAGAATGGTTTTGAATAATAGATGAGTGTAAAATCTTCGTCACTTTACAGCCCCGCCCACTTTTGGGGAAACCAACGCTGTCATTTGAACGACGATCAAGCCTGAAGGCACAGAGATCTTCCTTTCTTCTTAGAGGAAGTACAGAAACACGTAACTCTGGATGTGTTTAAATGTTTGAGGTGCAATAAACGACACAGCAGCTTTTTGGCATGTTAAAACTATTATTTTCTGCCTCGCTCATGAGAGTAACAGCTGGCGAAATTACAGCCTCGCCTACTGATTTCAAATGTGTGCTCTAAAATGATATTTATAAATGACTATTTTCATTATTATAAGCAAGACAATAAATGGCAAAGATATGTAGAAAAATAAACGTATTTAAGATACGTTCATAAGAAACGTAACGTGGGAGAAAATACGTTTCTAGCTAAACGTAATTGAGAATGCAGTTTAGTTCTGTGGGAATGTAATTTTTAGGAGACAGGGTTGGTTTTACATATGGTTGTTTTTACATATTTCCCAAATGCTATACAATGTGACAGCTCTAGATCAGGGTTTCTCAAACTTTTTCATACCAAGGACCACTTAACCAATAAAAAAACACTCGTGGACCACCTAACTCCACAAATATAAAAGAACACATCGTTTTTCTAAAACAGATTACAAATCGCCTGAAAATGGTACAAACAAGTGGCAACATGTGTGATGAAGGTGTTGCGCTGAAACTTAACCTCGCTCCATTGCGCAGATATTCCCGCGAGAGTGCGGAAAACTTAAATGTATTTATTTATTTCAATTGTGAAATGTTACCAATATACTCACGGACCACTAGGGGGCGCTCACGGACCACCAGTGGTCCGCGGACCACACTTTGAGAAGCACTGCTCTCGATCATAAGAGTCCAGTGCAGATATTCTCCTTCTGTGATAAATGTGACCATGAACTGCAGTTAATATCTCAACAACACACTGTACCTGCTCCAAGGTGGACTGGGAGAAGTTGTAGTCTTCAAAGTTGAAGTTTTGCTTGGCTGAAGATAAACGGAGATTAGGAAGATTAATGACATTGAATGACTCAGCAGATTCAGAGTGAGTGTGTGTGTGTGTGTGTGTGTGTGTGTGTGTGTGTGTGTGTGTGTGTGTGTGTGTGTGTGTGTGTGTGTGTGTGACTCACCACTCTCTAACTGAGAGAATGCCTTTGCCAGAGATTTGACATCCTCCATGGGAATCTTGTAAACCATCAGAGTAGCAAAGCTGCATAGAAAGAATGTATCGACATTGTGAGGCGTTCACTTGTAATAAATAATGACGAAGCATAACATTATTTGATTAAAGGCAAATGTAGTTTTAGCGGTATTTAGCAGCGCTTGCATGTGTGTTTAAGGCACGTCTGCACGAGATGCTTTCTGACACTATGGGTGTTTGTAAGTGTTGGTAAATATGATGTCCTCTATTGTTTGTTTTTATGTTGTTTTTATGTTTCATGTGGAACTAAATTGATGCAGGTCTCCCTTGTAAAAGAGATCCGTGATCTCAAGGGACCTATCTGTCTAAATAAAGGTTTGAAATGAAATGAAATGTGTTCCAAGTAGAGGCTATATTTCCCACAAATCACTACAGTACCAAGGAATTAGAAAAAGTGTTGCTTTGGTAAAATTGGTAGAATATGTGTTAGAGCCAGTCTTTTGTTTTATAAAAAGGGCCACTTCATTGTGATCTGTAGTCATGACGTTAGTCGAAGCGCAGATTTTAACCGTTAAAGTTATACAAGCCAACAAAGAAAGAAAGAAAGACCACCTGCGTTTTTATTATTTTATTTGAGTTTTTGTTTGATTTGTTCTGACTATTGTAAAGGCCTGTTTTCCTTGTTGAATGTGTGAAAGGGTAATTATTTTATTTGGAGTAAACACACATACACCAGAGGCCAAACAAGTCATCCCAAATGTGAGTAGAACCAATCTGAAGGAAAAGCATTAGAGCTGTCAGTTTAATGCGTCTACTGTAAGTGGCTTGATAGAAAACAAAGGAAGGAAACCGCGACAATATGTATACTTCACTATAAAAAAGGGACTCATCTCATTTTTGTGCTCTACTTTTTCCTTCTTAGTGTGCATACTATTCTGCCTATCCTTCACATTTAGTTTGTTTACATTTTCACTCTATATTGTCTCATAGTCTGCATAATATGCTCCCTTTCTTCCTGTTTTGTTCGGATTATTTGCATGTTTCGAGACACACATTCCGCTATCAGAATCAGACTTAATATGATTTGCTTTGGTGTAAGAAAAAATAAATATAATAAAAAGAAAGTAATTTTATAAAATAAACTCTTTAGCATTAAAAAAAGAATAAAGACAAGTATTAACACCACATTTAAATATACAAAATAACCTAAAAAGCTAAAACACTTTGGACAATGAATATATGACAGTATTATATATACCTCTCCTGCCGGGCAGCGTGGGGGAATATTCGGAGAATCTCTTTGTGCAGCAGCGCCACCGGCTGCAGCCCCGTCAGCTCCTCTCTGAGCTTCACCTCCAGACTGTAGCCGCGACCGTATTTCCCTTTTAAATGTTGGATAGAGCCGATGCATCTGATGAGAGAGAAAATCAAAAGCAGTGATTCAGGGATCCTTTCCTTCAGCATACGCCCCATCACAGACTAACGCACTAACCTGAGCTGTCCGGACACCATGATGGCGACGCGGTCACACACGGCCTCCGCCTCCTCCATGTAGTGCGTGGTGAGGATGGCTCCCCGCTGACGGTTCTTGAAGGCAGCACGAATGGCCCTCCTACACAAAGCAGAGACCGAGGTCAGAGGCTTCAAATGAAGACACCTCCACTACCAAGTGTCCTTCAGCAGAATAATCAATGAGTCATGCTCCAGAGCCGAGCCTACTCTGTGACCAAGGTCATCACAAAGGAAAACTACATCGAATACTGTGACAGAAATAACATAAAAAATGAACGAGTGTCAAGTTTAAACGCTAAGTGTATTTTATTTTACATTTTTTTATATCCAGTAATTGCTCAATTCTAGTTATTTTACAAGACAAAACAGTCTTGTAAAATAACTAGAATTGAGCAATTACTGGATATAAAAAAATGTCAAAACCTAATTATCGTACTTCTTCTTTCAAATTATTTTCCATCTCAGAAAGTATTCCTTCTGTATTATTTTATAGTAGTTTAGCCTCTATTTCTGTGACTATGTTTTTTTCTCGTTTCTTATTGCCTTTATAAAATCTTTAAGCCAGGATTCCCCCTTCGACATCTCTAGAGTATAAAAAAAGGCCAATTAAAAAAAGATGTGAAGTCTTCAAACAACAATAAAGGATTGGATTTTATTGTAATGTATTTTTGTAAAAGCCAGAATTTTCTATGTGAAAATGTCAAAGAGATGTTTTCTACAAAATGCGTCTTAATTATTATAAATGTACGATTCCAGGCATAACATTGTGCAAGAAAAAATAAAACAAGAAAAAAATGAATCAAACCTTTTCCTTTGACATCAAATGTAACACAGGTTAACATTCAAACCTGGTAAAGTAGGAGAATGGTAATGCAGAAGAGCCTCACCACATGCGCTGTTTGGACTTGGGGTCCATCCCTGAGGACGGCTCATCCAGTAAGACGATCTGAGGATTCCCGATCATACTCAGAGCAAAGCACAGCTGGAAACAACACAGCAGGGTGGTCAGTTTGGACAAGTTGTTGATGCAAATGGGTCCCTACAACACATCATTTTGGCAGGAAGTTGAGCGGGTTGAATGTGTACAACTCAACAATTTTAACTCCAGTGGCTTTGTAAAGAAATGTTGGACGTGTTCTGACCTTCCTCTTGAGTCCTGCTGACAGGGTCTTGGTTTGTTTATTCAAATGGTCCTTGAGCTCCAGAGCGTTCGCCACACTGAAATCAATAACAACAAAACAACTTGTGAGCTTTTACACGCCAATCATCCCTAAATCCTATACATCATTAGGACACTTTCTAAAGGTGGGATACTCCTGGTTGATCAGTATACGCAGATCAATTCAAGGGATAAATAATCAAATACTGTGAGTGGAGTGACCATGACCAGTGTTCATTTTGTAAAATGCCAGCACCACCTTTGACTAAATTAACATGAAATATAGTTGACAGAAAGAAAGATAATAGACAAATGCTGTTTGAATTTCTCTCAAGGTGTTCATGAGTATTCACATTCACAACAACGTGACCCGGAAAAATAACCTCCTCCAGTCTTGGCTGTCGGCCCCTCAGGAATAATATGAGGTTAGTTACGTCTTTAGTTATGTCTTTGTAAGTTAAACTTACAAAGACATTTGGCTCAGGACTAAATTGAACATGTACTGAACTTCAAAAACTACATTCAAGGTGAAATGCAAAATGAATACCAATAGATTACAGTTACAAAAAACATTCATATTGAAAAAAGTGTGATTGCATATTGGAAGAGGGAGGCAACAGATGCAGTGGGGAGGATAAAAGTGTGAAGCAAAGTAACCTGAGGCTTACCGTTTGATGATGTCAGGAACATCGTGTCCTTTCAGGCCCTTGATGGCAGCGTAGATCTCCAGATGTTCCTGCAGTGTGATCCTGGGCCACAGAGGGTTCACCTGAGGACAGTAGCCCACATGCTCCAGAGGATTCTCCACCGGACGGAACTCTGTGCTGTAGTCCCCCATCAGCACCTGGACAAAGGCCATGAAAAGGAAAATACAAACATTTATTTTGTCTTTAAATTGAAGCTATTTCCAGATGAGAGGGCCACACATGTAATCACTCATAATATCACACTATCGCAGCAAGGGGAAGCTTTGCATTTAACAGCATATCTGAAAAAAGACTTCAGATTAAGGATTCAAATTAAAAAAGGAAGTATTTGACGATGATGAGGGAAGATGTTTGGAGTCATCTGAAGTTGCACATCATAAACCGGGTCAACATTTGTGAAATTACTTCAAATTACAAAAATCCACACTAAATCTTTATATAGGAATCTGGAGCTAATAGAGACAAGGAGAGCAGCTTCAGTCATATCTGTACCTGGCCTGAGGTGGGGTCAGTGTCCCCCGACAGCATGTGCATGATGGTGCTTTTTCCTGATCCGTTGGGGCCTAACAGTCCAAGAACTTCCCCTGTAAAAACAGCAGAAATGAAGACTATGGCTGCACGGTTTCTTCATGGATGGGAACAATCCAAACATTTGATCACCATGCAATCAAAGCATTATCTGGCTTCACAGAAAGAGTAAACACACCTTTGCGAACGCAGAAAGAGATGTTCTTCGTTGCCTCTTTCCTCCCCTTGTTCAGAGAAAAGCTTTCTCTCCTGCCTTTGTACTGCTTGCTCAGGTTACTCACAACCACCGCTGGTTTCTAAATGAACACGACACAGGGAAGAGGAATTAACTTCAGCGAATACCTCACGATGGCTAGGGGGTGCACTGATCAGGACGATTCCTCAGTTAGAATGTTTACAAAGGAACTCAACCTTTGAATGCCGAGCATAGATATTCATTGTGTTTAATGTCACAGCTCAAGATTAGGCCACACTTATATAATCAGTATTATACTAATTGTAGAATTATTTTCCATAGGCTGCATAGTAAAGCATTGTAACTTCATAATCATTTACCAAATTCAATGCATGTCTTTATCTAATTAAATAAAAAGCACCATAAATTCATGTTTTTACGGTTGATGTTATCATAAAATGTGACGGCAGCCATTTGTAACTTCGTTAAAAAAAAGGTTGCTCTACATGTGGGCCAATTTACATAATAATGATAATGCATTTATTTTATGTACTTTCAAGGCTCTCTAGGTCACCGTACAAACACATAAAAAACAAGATACACAATACATAACACCAGCATAAGAGACATAAACAAGACAATGCAGTATATCAATCAATCAAATAAATTAAACAGAGGATGTGTGATGGATAAGGATCAGGGTGGATATGCGAGTGTGCAGATATATGTTTTGAGGCGTGATTTGAAAATGGGGAGAGAGTCAGTGTTGCGGATGTCAGGTGGGAGGGAGTTCCAGAGGCGGGGTGCAGAGCGGCTGAAGGCTCTAGACCCCATGGTGGTTAAACGGAAGGGGGGTGCAGTGAGGCTGAGGGAAGCAGAAGATCTGAGTGTGCGGATGGGTGTGTTGATGTGCAGGAGGTCGGAGAGGTACAGAGGAGTGAGGGTATGGATGGCCTTAAAGGCGAGGAGCAGAATCTTAAAAACGATACGGGGAGCCAGTGAAGCTGCTGAAGAACAGGAGTGATGTGGTTAATGGAGGGAGTTCTGGTGATGATGCGGGTGGCAGAGTTCTGGACCAGTTGAAGTCTGTGGATGGATTTGAGAGGGAGACCAAAGAGAAGGGAGTTGCAGTAGTCAATGCAGGAAGTGACCAGGGTGTGAACAAGAATGGCGGTGCTCTTAGGGACGGGCGGAGGCGGTTGATGTTGCGTAGATGGAAATAGGCAGACCGAGTGATATGACTGATAGAGATTTGAAAGAAAGTGTGCCGTCGAGACAGAAAGGAAACCGCTCCCTATTTCCCTGAAGCTCACCTCTTCACATGACTGGCAGGTGAGGGCCTCCTTCACTCTGGCCTTCTCCATCCGAACATCCTCATCCTCGTTCAGCCCTTCCTCTATGTTTTTGTCCAGTCTGGGCTTTGACTTGGATGAGATACTGGACATGAAAAATAATGATCATTAAAACATGACATGGGTATCACACACTGGTGTCAAACTAAGAAGCGTGCACTGTTTGTGTAAAATACAGGAAAAAACCCTCTAAATGTCTTAATTATGACTTCAAATCTGATCCCTACCTGCTGATGGTCCTCCCTCCGTAACGGATCTCCAGCCAACGCAGCAGGAAGAGCAGCAGGATGCACTGCAGATAGGGCTGAGCACAGACACAGACATAGAGTATCATATCTGAACACATAGTGTCTGTTTACTGAGCAAAGAAATGTTTGTGTTTGTATATACGTACAGCTACAACTGCAATGAGCAGGTTTTTCCACAAGAAGTTCGCCTCATACAGCGAGGGGAGGAATGTCGACTGGAAACAAGAGCAAAGATCAGTAAGAGGGGGTCCTGATCATACATCAGCGAGCCTCTAAAAGGAATTAACAGCTTGATCTTCACATCTTCACAAGTTCAAGAAAAGCAAGCTGTATCATTTTATATAAACAAGTGAAATGTATACAATAGAGAGTAAATGCGTCTTGTTAACAAAAATCTACAAAAATAGCTTTAATTGAACTGTTATTTCAATTGGAAAAAGTTGCCTTTGCTTTTATAATGGGAGGGTTGATGAGAGCAGGAAGAATACGTAGTACAATACTGTATGTGCATCCAAATATACGGAAGGGTTTAAATCCAACAACCTCCTTTAAACAAGTAGAACAATCCCTTTAATGCAGGTTTTAAACAAAGAGCAACAGAGAAACCCAGAGTTGAGCCCGTACCTTGGTGATGCAGTTGAGGCAGCCCATGAGAGGGTACAGAGGGTTGAAGAAACACAGGGCGTTGTGCAGGTTTCTGGTCAGTTCAGGGTTGTCGTTTACAAATGACAACTGAACCAGCGAGGCCGACACCACACACACCTGAAACATAAGTCACTCAGTTAGTAACCTTTCACGTGACTCCAAAATATGACCATCATACAGTAAGGTAATGGTAAGATAGACACAATAAAACCAATATGAATCTAAAACTCGTTCACAGCATGTGCAGTGTGACATTAGAGCTGCTGAACTACAGCCAATATATACACTTTTTATTTGAGTTATTGTAACATTCCTTTAGGCACTAGTGATCACAGTTCTTAATGAAAATAGAGCTGTAACCACCCTACAAATAGTTTATTCAATGTGAAGCCACAATGCGTCCCGCCTCACCATCATGGAGATTACAGAGAAGAAATCTCTGTTGCTCTGGACTCGAGCGAAGCCAAAAGAACACACATAGGAGAAGAGGATCATGGCTGGACCAAAGCCAACAGTACACAGCACCTAAGAGAACAGAGAAATCATAACAAAATATTTATTGTATCATTGGTTATAGATTTGATTTATAAATGCTACTGCTGACGTATGCTCAGCTTGTTTATCGGATCATTTAAGATCCTGAAGTCTGAGGACTAAAATCAATAATCAGGATAAAATGTTTAGTTCAATACAACCAGGTTTCAAATGTAATACAAGTCCATTTGTAACAGCATCTGGCCGATAACTAGAAGGCTGATGCATGCTCATTGACCATGGACCTTAACCTTGATTTCATGTATAGAATTCTCTAGGTTTGAAAAATGTAGGAAACATTTGGGATAATGAGAGTACAGTACTGAACAAATGTATAAAACGGGTATAGTTTTTTCAGAAATGTTGAAGAAGAAAAGTTAAATATTATACTAGCATTGTGTGTGTAATGTGTTATCTGATGGTTAAATCTGCCAACAATGTGGAACCAAAGGACACGCCTTTTCACATAAACTAAGGCCCCGGCCACACGAGGACGATAACGGTCGTATCTGCTACAGTTCTCTATCAGATAGATGGTTTGGCCACACAAGGCCGACATGGAAACGCAGAAAACGATAACGGTAAGTAGATCTGTAAACTAAACGCTCTGGGGGGGGCAAACGGCTCTGTGTTTACGCCTATATGATAATTTCCTGATAATGTTGAAGCAATAGCCCCGCCTCTCCCCACCCCTCCTGCTCAGAGATCAGCTGCTGGGCTGTCAGAAGAGGGGGAGGAAAAGAGAGGCTCCGTTTTTTATTCTTATATTATTATTAGGGCTGTCAGTCGATTAGAATATTTAATCGCGATTAATCGCACATTTTTGATCTGTTCTAAATGTACCTTAGAGGAATATGTTTCAAGTTTTTAATACTTTTATCAACATATGAGTGGACAAATATGCTTTATGCTAATGTTTATTATCATTTGAACAATGACAAATATCCTCATGAATATTAAACACAACAACCTCTGAACATTACAAATATTCGCCTCAATTCAACCTGGAACCTAATACTGTGTGTGTGTGGGTGTGTGTGTGTGTGTGTGTGTGTGTGTGTGTGTGTGTTGTGTGTGTGTGTGTGTGTGTGTGTGTGTGTGTGTGTGTGTGTGTGTGTGTGTGATGGATCGTTGGAGCTATGTGCAACTCAAGGCATATGCTCGAACCGGAGCTGCCTGGACGCTGCAATCATGTTGCGCACTATCCGTGCTGAGTGTGCTGACTTCTCGTACAATGTCCCACTGTCTGGCTTCCTGCATAAAGTCAAGTGCTCGGCGCAGTTGTGGCGAAATGTCGCTCCTCTGTTTTCATTTAAACAGCTCCTTATATCCGTTAGCGCAGCTAGCTAGCACCAGATGCTAACAACAACAATGCACGTAAGGTCTCTCTCTCGCTCGCTCGGGCCACACATACACACACCCTCCCGGTCCTCCCAACAGCCAGTCGGTGCCTGCCGGTGAGCGTGGAAGTGTGGTCTGCCACAAGCGGGCGGCAGGAGCGGGGCTGTCAGCATCAGCTTGTAGATGGTATTTTAAACTCGATGCGCTCTGAAACTACGGGGCGGCCGAGGAAAAAAAATACACATGCGTTAATCGCGTTAAAATAATTAGTGGCATTTTTTTTTTTTTTGCGTTAACGCGTTATTAACGCGTTAACTTGACAGCCCTAATTATTATATAGAGTCAATCAATCAATCAATCAATTTGTTTTAAAGCTCAATAAATAACAAAGAAGACCTCTGACCGGCACTTTTCTAATTTTGTCCAGAAGATTTAAACTTTAACGGACATGTTGACCGGCGGAAAAAAAATGTTAACGGAAACTCTGCCAAACGGTTCCCTCGTCCCTTGGAAGAGGCGGAGAGGTGGGTGTTTTTCATCTGCTGGTGGACTACTGGAGAGATTTACAACAGGAGCAAACGCTTGCCTCGGGGAGGCAGGAAAATAGCCAGAGCGTCCACAGCGGAGAATAAACAGAAGGGCAACCATGGCAACCATGCGCGGGAAGTCTTCTTCGCTGCTTTTGTGGCAGGAGTACAGCGCCACTTACAGGCCCGGCATATGTACTACAGCGTCTCCAGCGGTTTCGAGCGGTCTCGTGTGAACGGACACGTGGATATACGTGGACGTAGACTTTTTTGATAACGATTGCGGTCCGTTTGCGTTATCGTCCTTGTGTGGCTCCAGCCTAAAGGTATTGTTGTCCAAGAAGGTGTTCACCTAACAAGCTTGTTTTCTGTGAAGTGAAGCATCATGTTTAAAGTACAGACCACAGAGGTGAGGTTGCTGGAGGTGAGCAGGTTTCCGGTGTTGAAGGAGAAGAGGATCATGGTCATGCAGGAGAGGATGAGGTAGTAGAAGGGGATGTCCACCGCTGCTTGGCCGCACCAGTACGCTGACGGGACCAGGCCAGAGATACGCAGTGTGGAGCGACACTTGATCTGAAGGAGAAAAAACATCCAAATATTCACACAGATACGGCCTTATATATGACTGAGATCTATTTGATCATTTTACTATAATTAGGGCTGTAGCAAGTTTTTGTTTACATTCAAAGCTTCTATTGGGGTGAATGTTTGTTGTCATGTTTTAGGACACCATTAGACATACAAATGAAATGCTATTGAATAAAGCCATTGATCCAATTAAATAAATTTTTTTTTTATATATCAACGCTTTTTAAATAAATGGAACTTGTCAGCGCGACAAGAAGCAAATACATGTTTTTTAAAGGCTTTATAAATAGCAACAAATATAGTGCAATATTGAAGCAGATTGTATTGTTATATAAAAACATTTTTGGAAAAGGCTAATCATTATCTTTAACTAAGAAAGCTGCGCATTTTGTGTATTTAAATGTAAATGTGATGAAAGATCCAGCCCTGATTATAGCCAACAGTATTAAACATCTGCAGAAGAGTAAAGGAAGGTTGTTGCGATGGTGGTCTCTGCTCTACAGGAGAGTAAGGGGCACTAATGGAGCAACTGTATCTTTCAGGACTTGGGACCTGTGATAGGCCAACTGCATCTAACACAAAAAAACACGTAACCACGACATACCCGAACCTTTGTCACATGTGATCCCCTTCTTTCATGTTACCTGCTGCTTTCCATTTCTCAAACTGTCCAATGAAGTGCCACAAAAACATTGTTTAAAATTCACATGTAGCAAAGGAGAGGTTTATGAGTGCACAGTAGTTGGGTTACAACTAACAATTATTTGCATTGTAATTTAATCTTCTAATTATTTCCTGGATTCATAGTTTATCCTTTGGTTTTCAATATGTCAGAAAGTACTGACATTTTTTGTTCCCAGATTCTAAAAGTCCAAGGTGAAGTCTTTAAAGTCTTAGTTTGTCAGTCCAAAACCTAAAGATGTGAATAATATATCATACAAAATACAGAAAACAAGCATTTCTGCCAATTATGCATACAAAATAACTGACTAAATATTATTAAAAGTTGGTGATTTTTTTAAATGTCAATAATCACTTTAATTGCAGCAGCTCTGCAGAATATTTCCCTATATGAGCCCCTTTGCAGTAAAATCACTCCTATCTTTCTTTTAGGTACAAAGCTATGGTTACAATTCAAAATCAAGAAATAAAAAACCTTAACTTTCTTAAAACTTTTATCTTTGCTAAATAATTCCCTTGTTGTACAGATCAAAAATATCGTTAGAATCATTATCAGTGGGAGTTAGTGATTACCTCTCTGTCTCGAGTGTGGTCCATGGCGAAATACGCAGGCATCCCAGCAGCCAGCATCCCCAGAATGATGGCCTCTATGTATACCAGAGCATAGGACGTGGCATCGGGCATTTGCTGAGAGATGGCACAATGAAAATATTTAGAATCTTCAAATGGCACAGGGTAAAAGGATATATATGATCTGCTCATATGAAAGTAACATGGGCTGAGTCATTGATATACAAGGATCATTTAGGGGCTGAAGTATGTCTTTAAATACTCACATAATCAAATGGTTTGGTCCAGGTTCTTATCTGTCCAGTGCCATTCAGACCTCTTAGAAGAGCGTTGCTTAATACATTGACAGCCATTGGCAAGGAGTGAACGGTGGTGCTGTTGAACGCAACACTGTACCTGAACCCCTGTCGACATACAGAAACAAAGTGTTAACACAGTCCACTCAATCTAAATATAAGGCTCTCAGTTGGAGTACTTAGCAGCACTTAAACAAAGAGCCCTTCATCTGGAACATTACTAACATAACTGCTAATTTTTTGTTTTAATTGAATCTGTACGATAATAACCTTGCTGGATCCTGTCACGTTGATGGCGGCGCTGTGGGGGGCTGCAGCCATGTAGTCACTGTGTTTCATCAGATCTACTTTGAGGTCCTGAGACTCCAGGTTGTGGATGAAGTCAGAAATATCAGAGCCTGTTGGCACAACAACAAAAACAACACTTCAAACCAATGTGCTAGAAAACAGCTGATGTAAGGAGCTCCAAATGCAGAGAGAGTAAAGGAATACTGAAAGGGTCATCCTCGTTAGAATTACACCCATGGGACAGTTCCCATTGACTCTCTTCTCAGGTGTAATTGAACAGTTGTACAGCAGTTAGAAGTCGGTCACAATATTTACAGTATGCAAATCTTTCTTTGCATAATGGCTGTGAATACATACTTATCCTTTAGAACATCTCCCGAACTCACCTGAGGAGTTCTGAACCAGGAGGCCGGTAGAGTATCTGTGCGGCATCTCGTTTTTGTTGAGGAGGTAAATGGGTAGAAACTGGCGTTCTGAGGAGTGAATCTGGATGTTTCCTGTGGCCAGAGAAAGGACGAGCACTGCAGCCACAAACACCAGGAACAGGGCCAGACTGCAAGGAAAGACAGGACCAATCAGTGGAACCCACAATGTTTCAAAAACACAAAAGGGCACATTGTAGAGCATAATATAAACCTTTTAACCATGTGTTTAAATTACATATTTGATCAGTTACCTAAGTCTGCTATAAGAGAAATATAGTTTAAGGTAAGTTTAGTAGGGAAAAATAGTTAGCAAAAATAAATATTATCAAACACAGGTTATAGTACATTAAATATGTACATTAAATCACTGCCTTTATCACAATTTGCTCTTTGATAAAGTGCAAATCTATGTTTTACAATGATATAGAATCTACCTTTTATTTCCTCAAAGTGTATTTCTATTTATTGAGAGTGTTGTTGAGAAGTTGTCCAAATAGTGCAGTTTGTGCCTTTTATAAATTAGATATATATTGATAATTAAACATGTTTAAACTAGTAAAGTGCAGTTAGCATCAAACGGAGTCAGATCTTCATTTTCTCCCAGGCTCCCTTTCACTTAAGATGGAGGCAAACAAAACAAAAAACAGGAATGTGTTCATCTTGCATTAGGCCTAACTTAAGTGGATCATGACATATTGGGTATGGAACTAATCTGCAGATGACTTCCAAATTAGACTAACTTCTAATAAAGCCTGCAAAATACTAGGTACGGCTTGTTTTAGCATAGCTGAATGCTGGATATACGTTTTGGAAGCGGTTACTGATAAGTGACGCTTAAGAATAGTGGTACTTGTTTTCAAACATGATTTGTCTCTGAACACTCACGTGTAAATGAAGGCTTTCCTCTCCCTACGCATGTTGAGCATGTGCAGCCAGGCCACGGTGCTGAACTGCTGCCGCCACAGAGCGTGACCCGACACGACGTCAGACTTGTTGTCAGAGAAGGTCAGCAGCCGCTGGTCCGTATCGTCCACAGAGGCGTTGTCACCTTCCTCCTCCGTCTGCTCCCGATTAAACACACTGTAGTCTGAAGACAGGAAACAAACAAACTGAAAAACACTCCTACGGGATTTATTGAGATCTGCTTAGGTGACACACTCACCAGCTTGGTCTACTTCGGTCTCTGCCTCTAAACGAAGAAAAACATCCTCCAGGGTTGTCATAGAAACCCCATAGTTGATAATTCCCAGATTGGGTTGGCAATCGATCTCCGAAAACAAGCCTGAGAAACAGAAATGAATTAGTACTGGGTGCTGGTCCAATGCTGTTACATTGAAAGCTTAGTCACAAATGAGTCATTATTTCAACATTTACCTGGGTGGGACGTCATTTAGACAGTAAGAAAGAGGATTTTAATTGTTTTAAGTGTCTGTTGATTCACTATCTAGTGCGGAAAAAGGAAACACAATTGTGAGCAGGCTTGTGAACAACTGATTCAAAAGTTAGAATAAAAAAATGTGTGTGGAGATTCTCGCAAACCTAACATTTCATGCTGCTGCAGCCTTACATTCAAAAGCATCTAGCTGGCAAAACACAGGTTGACGTTTTGAATGAAGTAGTCACAGGAGGACAAACAAAGTGTTTCAGTGAGATTGACACTGAACAAACTGTAATTATTATAAATGGGTCTATAAAACAAGACAAGTGTGCAACCATCCCCATGTGTTTTAGATGTCCCCTAAACTAAGAACGTTCTAGAATGAAGTGTTCCAGCTAAATGTCATAAAGGATCTAAAGGTGGCACTATTAAGTGTTATAGCTAAAAATATATTTGACAAATATTGCTTACAGGAGCAATTTAATGTATCACAATTACAGGGGCAAAAAAGTATTTAGTCAGCCATCAATTGTGCAAGTTCTCCCACTTAAAAAGATGAGAGGGGCCTGTAATTTTCATCCTAGGTATACCTCAACTATGAGAGACAGAATGAGAAAACAAAATCCAGAAAATCACATTGTCTGATTTTTAAAGAATTTATTTGCAAATGATGGTGGAAAATAAGTATTTGGTCAATAACAAAAGTTCATCTCAATACTTTGTTATATACCCTTTGTTGGCAATGACAGAGGTCAAACGTTTTCTGTAAGTCTTCACAAGGTTTTCACACACTGTTGCTGGTATTTTGGCCCATTCCTCCATGCAGATCTCCTCTAGAGCAGTGATGTGTTGGGGCTGTCGCTGGGCAACACAGACTTTCAACTCCCTCCAAAGATTTTCTATGGGGTTGAGATCTGGAGACTGGCTAGGCCACTCCAGGACCTTGAAATGCTTCTTACGAAGCCACTCCTTCGTTGCCCGGGCGGTGTGTTTGGGATCATTGTCATGCTGAAAGACCCAGCCACGTTTCATCTTCAATGCCCTTGCTGATGGAAGGAGGTTGTCACTCAAAATCTCACGATACATGGCCCCATTCATTCTTTCCTTTACACGGATCAGTCGTCCTGGTCCCTTTGCAGAAAAACAGCCCCAAAGCATGATGTTTCCACCCCCATGTTTCACAGTAGGTATGGTGTTCTTTGGATGCAACTCAGCATTCTTTCTCCTCCAAACACGTCTAGTTGAGTTTTTACCAAAAAGTTCTATTTTGGTTTCATCTGACCATATGACATTCTCCCAATCCTCTTCTGGATCATCTAAATGCTCTCTAGCAAACTTCAGACGGGCCTGGACATGTACTGGCTTAAGCAGGGGGACACGTCTGGCACTGCAGGATTTTAGTCCCTGGCGGCGTAGTGTGTTACTGATGGTAGCCTTTGTTACTTTGGTCCCAGCTCTCTGCAGGTCATTGACTAGGTCCCCCCGTGTGGTTCTGGGATTTTTGCTCACCGTTCTTGTGATCATTTTGACCCCACGGGGTGAGATCTTGCGTGGAGCCCCAGATCGAGGGAGATTATCAGTGGTCTTGTATGTCTTCCTTTTTCTAATAATTGCTCCCACAGTTGATTTCTTCACACCAAGCTGCTTACCTATTGCAGATTCAGTCTTCCCAGCCTGGTGCAGGTCTACAATTTTGTTTCTGGTGTCCTTTGACAGCTCTTTGGTCTTGGCCATAGTGGAGTTTGGAGTGTGACTGTTTGAGGTTGTGGACAGGTGTCTTTTATACTGATAACGAGTTCAAACAGGTGCCATTAATACAGTTAACAAGTGGAGGACAGAGGAGGCTCTTAAAGAAGAAGTTACAGGTCTGTGAGAGCCAGAAATCTTGTTTGTTTGTAGGTGACCAAATACTTATGTTACCGAGGAATTTACCAATTAATTCATTAAACATCCTACAATGTGATTTCCTGGATTCTTTCCCCCCATTCTGTCTCTCATAGTTGAAGTGTACCTAGGATGAAAATTACAGGCCTCTCATCTTTTTAAGTGGGAGAACTTGCACAATTGGTGGCTGACTAAATACTTTTTTGCCCCACTGTAAGTAGTTAAAACCTGACTCCCCAACCTACAATTGATGGACTGATAAGGGAAATCTATCTGATAGATAATAACATATCCTCTGAGGATCCAGACAGACGTTTTTTTTTAAGTTGGAGTCCCGCCATTACTGTGCTCTTCTAGTGAGTTGATTTTGGTTCCCCCACATCTCCTGGGCCATTCCAGTGTCTCAACCTTCTGATCAAGGTGTATTTAGTGGCACTGGCCAAATATATGTGATCTAGATTATCATTATCTTTTATTTCATATATCTAATGTTTTAGAATATTTTTCCACTTATTTATTTAGTTCCATTTGTATTGTTTTATCTCATGTTTCTTTCAATGTATTGGCTTTGTAGATACAGCTGATTCTAAAATGAAATCTAAAAACTGTTGACTAAAGTGTGATGTTTGTATAGTGAAACTGAAAATCAAATAAAACCAAGTTAATAAAAACCACAAAAAAAGACTGTAATTTTGGTCATTTATTTGACCTTGAATTAGTTTGAAATATTGCAGCGAGTATTGAAAGACTCAGTCAGCTGTCAGATAAAGAGTTAAAGGTGACAGGCTGTATACCTCCAACTTGTTAACCAAGTCATTGTTTTATACCTTTACTATTTGCTGACTAAGGACTAATATTTAAGGATCGACACTTTAACTAGATGTGAACTGACCTGAAAACATGTCCATGCCCTCCAGAGGCAGAGTGAAGGTCAACTCTGCGTCATGTTGTCGAGATAACTTCGCCTTGGTAACATGCTGCTTGACCAATGACGTGATCTTTTCAGCTTCGCATCCCTCGTTGATAGACATTCTGCGTAAGAGGAAAAACACACTAGTTAAATAATAAGACAAATGTAGGCATTGCCACCATTCCATAAGTTGTTGCAACATAACAAATATATTGACCTGAGATTTCAACATCATTTAATTCATTCATCGGGCCATTTTTCAAAGGGTTACTAAAGGGCCACTTGTTATTATTATGCAAAGATGGGAAGTATTGTAGTGTTTTTATACTTGCCTGAGATGATATCCAACACCACACTTGACTTTGAGATAGAGAGAAGAGCCAACACATTTGAGCTGTCCTTGAGAAATCACAGCTTTGCGATCTGGTGAAAGAAAATACGATCCGTGATGAATAACAATAACAGCAAATTGATAAATGTGATACTTTTGAATTATAGTTGGGAAGAAACACAGTCATTACATGTCTGCAAGTGCATTTATAAGTGCTCAGAAATCCAAAGCAGCTTCATTATAAACACAGCATTTGAGGAAGTTGGCGCTTTCATAAAAATGAACAATGCTTTTTTTAAACTGCCAGGAGCCGAATACAAATATGATGGGTAAATCCATCAGATTTTGTTCATTACACTCAAACAATGTTAAACAGCTGCAATGCTCAAACATTCTAAACTTAAAATCTCAAAAGTTAAGCCTGAATTTTTGCCTTTAGTTTCCAAGTAGGTCATCTGCCTTCTGCTTTTGTGCATGTGGGTGAGTGCATGTTATGTGACAGGGAGGGTTCATACCAGCCAGAATGTCAGCCTCGTCCATGTAGTGTGTGCTGAGGACAGTGACTCTGCCGGCTCTGCGGTTCTTCAGCAGCGTCCACACCTGGTGTCTGGAGCAGGGGTCCATGCCGGCCGTGGGCTCGTCCAAGAGCAAGATCTGAGAGGAGCAGACACCATGCAAACTGCTCAGGGTTCACCCAAGCTGAAGTAACACTGACTGAGAATTCCAGGTAAGCTTCTTCTTCAAACCGTAAAACTATTGTGCAGTAAAACTCAAACATGGAGACATTTTCTGTTGTCATGTTGGTTCAAAAACACTTCAACTTTAGATATCCTTTATGTAAACCGCTGATTTCAAGTACGTTTTAAATGGAATATACTGCAAACTGATATCAAAATGGGGGGGGGGGGGCATCCTGTCGTGCTTCTATTGGCTACTAGTGCTCCAAAACATTATACTTGATAGTTTAAGGGGCAGGATATCTCTTAGAAGTTGACCAATCACAACAGAGCCGGCCAGCTAACCAATCAGAGCAGACTGGGCTCTGGTTTCAGACAGAGGGTGAAAAGAGGTGCTGCAGCACAGGCAGTATGAGAACAATAAAGAGCTTTTTGAACATTAAAGCATGGAGACATGTAGAGACACAACATACAAATATGAAACCTGAAAAAGAGCATGATAGGGCCCCTATAAATAAACAAGTAAACCATAAATAAAAAATAAAAAATGTATCCATTTAAAGCTCCAGGTACCTTAGGATCTCCCAGAATGGCGATGCCCACAGAGAGTTTCCTCTTTTGGCCTCCACTCAGATTTTTGGCCTGAGCAGTCGCAATTTTTTCCAAGTCTAGATCCTTCAGCACTTTGGTAACCTATCAAAGAGAAGAGTCATTAGCCAAATTGGAAAAGATTCCCTTAAAGGTGGGGTAGGTAAGTTTGAGAAACCGGCTCGAGATCGCTAGAATTTGAAAATACACAACCGGAGAAAATCTGCCACTTCCTTTCAGAGCCCCTCCTCCAACACACACGAACGCGCACATGACCAATGAGGGCACGAGATAAGTTTGTGCCCCGATGGGAGGCTGACAGGCAGGTAGGCCATCCAGTTATTTTAGCCGGGCCGATTAAAATGATTGGTCGTGCTTTTTACAGTACTACGGCTTCCACAGATGGAAGTCAAAGCACTTCAGATATTCATTGCTATCGGGATGTTAAGAACATTCCATGGAATATAACAAAAAGTGTATCTCGAGCCGGTTTCTCAAACTTACCTACCCCACCTTTAAATCAATTCACTAAATCAATCAAGAATGATTTGGTGATTATATTGACCACTCAAGACGAATATAAGACAGAGGCTTTTAAACCAGTGTTTAGATAATCACCTCAGCGTCGATGTCCGAGGGTAGGATCCCTTTGATGGCAGCAAACATCCGGAGGTGCTCCTCCACAGTGAGCACATCAAAGATGATGTTAAACTGGGGGCAAATTCCCACCAGCTGCTTCATTTCGGAGCCATCTGCGATCTCTGCTACGGGGGAGCCATAGATGGTGGCCGAGCCGCTGGTGGGCGTGCAGATGCCACACAGGATGTTCATGAGAGTGGACTTTCCAGCCCCGCTGTGTCCCAGCAGAGCGGTGATCTGGCCCTCATAGATGTCAAACGTCAAACCTGACATCATGAAAATCAACCAGAAAAATGCATATTAAGATACCAACAGAGGCATTGTAGGGCAGACCAATACATTGGTTCAGCATTGTTGTTGGGAAACTAAGGAAACCTTTTTTCTGTTTAATAAAAATGTATAAACTTCCAGGCAAAATATTTATATTTCAATCATAATGAAAAAACTGGAAATAAAAAAGGTAATTTTGTAATGTATTTTATACTGTAACAACTTGGGAACAATACAGTTAGAAATGCAACTACGGATAAACCACAGGTCAAACAACCAATTTTGTGCCTGGATTTCTGTACTAATTATTTGAGAGGGTTCGAAAGGTCTGTGGTGCAGGTGAGTTATTTAATATCTTTTCATTTAAACTTTGTTATGAACGTAATTAAATGTAATCTACTAAAGAAAAAACTAAAACTACAATGTTGCCAGGAAAAATGCTAGCAATGCATCTTTAATCACAATCACATGCTAATTGAAAAGCCTTTCAACTTCAAAAGGAAGTGTTTGGGACTCACCTCTCAGAGCCTCCACCACGCTGTCCTTCTCTTTGTACACTTTATGGATGTTATTGATGCTGCCAGAGAAGAAGCATACAGGAAATGAAAAACATTTTTCAAGAAGTGTAAACACAGAAGCAGAGTGAAGAGCAGACTGCTGCCACCGGCCTTTCTCAGCCAGAACAATGGTGTTTGACAATAACCAAGAACAGAGCCAGAGCATTTTTAACTGAGCATGAAACTCTCAAAGTCTCCATTCATCTTTAGTATTAAAAGGCTCCTCCTCAAAGATTCATAGTTTGTGATAAAACAGCATCAACATTTTAATTGACCTGCCAAGGGCAAAATGATGGTGCGACAAAGCATCCTCCATACAAAGCATTTGATCAAACTGTAGTAACTTAGCGATGGAATTCCAACACATTTAACTGCTAGTGCAGATTGTTACCGGATAGCCTCTTTCCCTCTGAACTCAGGTGAAATGGGTTCCACATGCTCGTCGCCACCTGAAGTGCCTTTCACCTCTGCGTCGTATACCGAGCTCACTTCAACGTAACGCTTTCTGCGTTTCGACCAATAGGAAGGCTTCAGGAAGTACACCAGGGACCGCTTCATTCCAAAGTCCCCTGCATTTCAGACAATACTTCATTACACAAGGTAATTGTAATATAACAATGACAGTTTATGATTAAACCTACTGATCCTACAGAGAAATGTGGCTGTTTCGTCTTGCTTAATTAGTTGTAAATTAATTAGTGATTAACTATCTGAATTGACTCACCAGGCAGAACCTGGTCCAGGTAGACAGCTAACAGCAGGTAGAGGATGCAGTCCACAACGAGCATGAACAGGGGCACGTACAGAGGATGAGGGCCGTTAGCCAGGGAGGAGAACACAGCACCATCTCCCTGGGCCTCCAGGTAAACCACCTGGCATATGTAGAAACACACACACTTACAAATCATGTACTAAAGGTCTTAATAATTGCATGGTTCTTAGTGGATTATTTACATTAAATGTACATATGGATTAGCAAAATGACCATCTGTGGCCAATAGATGGGCTGCTAATGTCTCATAGCTAGTTACTGATTGTTATAGGATGTTGAATGTATGGAACCTGGTGAAGGCAAAGCATCATGGGAGGGGAATAATAGCAACTAGCCAGTATTAATTAGCCAAGTTTATATCCAAATATATAACAATTTGCACTTTGCCACATGATTTTATCCTTATACCATAACAAATATTTTTGCTAAACTTTGAATTGTCCTTGCTGCATTACCACTCTTTTTTAATGTGCAACATTTGTTTGCATTAAATAGATGGAATGTCTTGGCCAATCAGGTATTTCATAAAAAGGCATATACTGGAAGATGACCAGTGGAGCATCTTGTGGGTAAGTGTTTGTTACCTGTGCAATCCCGATGGAGAAGGCGCTGGGGGAGAGCAGGCAGAGGAGCCAGACCAGAGGCTGAGGGAAGTCCTTCATCAGCACGGTGAACAGGGACAGGCAGCCGAACACCACCGTCAGCATGGAGCCCACTGTGCTGGCAAACTTGGGCTTCTTAAATAGCGGGGTCATCATGAAGGAGAAAAAGATCTGTGAAACAAGAAAAGAGTCAAAGAAAGCAGAGGGAGATAGGAGGAAGGAAAATAATTCATTTCTTCCATGACTCCCATCATCCACCAACAGATGAAACCAAACAGGGCTGTAATAAAAACTCATGTAAAAGATATTGCCTTAGAGACGGTGCACCAATTTCAAAATCAAAACAAGTTGGTCACTCTCCAAGATGACCAACTTCAAAACGTCTTGCTTGAAATGCTGCCCTAATATCTTTCTAGTTGGAGTGCAATCACTTAAGACCTAACGTATCTCAACCTACTGTAGATATTAAACCATTGGAGTTACAAATCTTGCATAAATCAAACCAACCAACACACTGAGGTCTCCTACAGTAGCTCTACCTACATTTGAAAAGTCCTTACAGTTGTATGCTCACAGTCAAACGTTTCCATGGTGACAACTTTAGTAGAAAAATAGGTTAATGCAAACTTATGTGCACACTGAGCTCTCATGCAAAAATGCCAAATGTAAACATTGTCTTTCACACTGATTCAACTTTTTTGATGACTGCATTATTTACTTATCATTCCCTTTACAAACTTTTTGGCAATATCAAAAAATATAGGGGCAGCCATCTCTTTAGAAAACATATATTTTGTATGTGAACTAAAGCTATGACAATATGCTGAATTCAAAGCTGTGTCATTTGGTGAAGGAATTGGGCAATGGAATGTTTTAATGATCAATGTATTGACACAAAAGAAAAACTAATGAAAGGCATAATAATGAAACCAAAACTATTTGCATGGCTCAACGTAAATAAGAGGATATTAATGTGTCTAACATCTGTACTAGTTTCCCTCTATGAAAGCTCTACTCACCGATGATATTCCGTAGAGGAAGATGAGAAGGAATATAACCAAGAAGTCACTGTTAGGGAACAGGGCCGTGTACGTAGCGATGATGGACATTAGGAAGGACATGGTGGTTACCAGGGCAGCGTACAGGAGACCCCATGACAACCTGTTGGACAACATGAACACATAAGCATACAGGCGTACACAATCTCAAAGAAAGCAGCTTCTACAAATGATTTGAAACTGCAGTGACTGAGGGCCTCTTGCTCCTCACCAGAAAGCGGTGTCGTAGAGCCCCATCATGGTCATGGTGTCTTTGAGGCGATGTTCCTTCTCAGCTGCCACGTTGACGATGAGGAAGGTGACGAACGGCGTAAAGGCCAGGACCAGGTAGATGGAGATGAGGGCGTGGGGGAATTTCTGCACCTCCACAGAGCCTGGCTGACCCATCATCACTACACTCAGGTCCATCTCACTCCTAACAGAACGCTTGGTCTGCATCTGTACAATAAAGATGGACCATTCACAAGCACACCATTAAACATTAAGTTATGATCCTAATCATTACAGATTCATTCATCAACATTTCTTTCTATATTAATAATAAAAACATAATGTTGAAATAATTGTTTAGGTAATTTATGACTAATGAGCCTCAAAGGAATATTATAGTTTCTCTTTTTAGATGTATAACTTTCTCAAATAAATATGCCCAATTTTTTCCAACAATGCCATTGTATTTAATTGACTTATAGTTTCAGCACTATAACAGAGCCTTCTTGAACAACTGTACCTTTGACATCTTGGAATAACAATAAACCCTTCATGTATTTTCTAAAAACACAAAATGTCTTCTGAATTGTCTGTGGCATTAGCTTTATGACTGCACAAACCGACCTGGAACCGTAGACACTTTCTTTGTTGCATTACATGTTAGCCTGTGCAACACACGCACCATATCTTCCCTCTTTAGGGGGGGTGCACTGGAGAACACTGTGCTCCTCTCTGGCCTGACTCACCTGGATGATGGCTGCATCGATCAGAGACTGCAGGCGGATGAAGCCAGAGTACCAGTAGTTAGCCGCTCTGCAGTTCACTGAGCTGGTAAAACAGTTTGCTAGAGGAACACAAGCACAAAGACATAAGGTCAGGCCACATATGGACGTTATATTTCAGCTCTGGAAGGAAATCATTTGTTGGATGGTCTTTACATTACATATACAGTAAGCTAATATAATATAGTTTCTCTATAGTGTGTGGTGTGTCATATCATAGGCATATCGTTTGACGTACACCTACCTACATCTGATTTGGATGTCATTTCTTAGATATCAACTGATTGACAACTGATTATTTTAAGATATAATTTAAATTCAAATCTTTAGCATGGTGTCTTTATACAACAATTCTTGTTGTCGGCAGAGTGTATTATATATGAGGTCTATGTCATTTTAAACTTTTAGTAGTCACAATAACTGAAGAGGGGGTCTGAAAACGATGAAAAGATTGTATATATATATATATAAATACAGGAGGCAAAATAAAGAATGCTCAATTAGACTATACCAATAGATTCTGTGTAATCGCTGGGAAAGGGCAGGTGGTTGTACGGAAAGCGTAGCCTGTAAGATGTGGCGGAGCTGTCCAGGAACACCACACCGACGTAGCTGGAAGGCTCATAAAGGCTGGCGTTCTCCAGGTCCTCCTCACTGGCAAACATCTCCAGATGATCCTGCATGTCTGAAGACACAAGAAGGAGGATGAAAGTGTCATACAACAAGTAGATTTGCCTCAACACTTTCTAGTTTTCATCTCCAGTCCCTATTCCATTTGATACAGATGTACAGTTGTCAAGAACATCACAAGGCTGTATTTCTTTTTTAAAGGATGAGCTGGTTCTTACGCATCTCCTGGGCCACCTCTTCCATGATGTGGTTGGTGATGTTAGTAATTGGTGTGTAGCCCAAGCCCTTGAAGAAGTGGTCTTCGCGCTCCAGGTCCATGGTGCTGATGCCTCCATAATAAACGTGAGGATTCAGGGTGCTGATGAGTATCAGAAGACCCAACAGAAGCAGAGGTAGGATCAGTTCCTGCAGAGAAAGATACATAAAAGGAGCAGCTGATTAGAAAACCCGGAAGTCTGGATTTGGATATGGTCTAGCTTTTGAACATTGGTGACGGTTAGAACATGTATCAACAAGTAAATAGAACACATTGGGTGTCAAAATACCTCCCATCTATGCAATAGTGTTGCACTTTTAATATTGCTTCAATGGGGATATACAACTTCTTGATAAATAACATTAGAAATTGTTTCTCTTCCATCCATAAAATACATGCTATCGTTCCACCTTGAGAAACACAGTAAATGAAAAAAATGAATTGAGAGCCACTGGCACGTCAAGAGCTGATTGCATAGCTTGTCAGGCCTTTATAGAGCTTTACCCAGAGACATATTATAGGGCTTAGGGTTAACAAATGTCCACTGGGAAGGCATCAATAAGGAGATTTGGTTCACATTGGATTTTATGTGTGCATAATAACACTTTTTACCCTCAAATGGTCTTTTAAGTAAACAAGCTCTATTAATTGCAGTGCAGCTGCAAAAAACTGGACTTTACAAACTGCTGTAAATGAAGCTCCTAGGGGTCCCCGAGTGCTACCTTTCCAAAGAAAATGTGATACACAGACATTAAAAATGCATCAGGGCAACTGAAAAATGCATGCTGTAACAAGCGAGACATTGGAAGGTAAAAAAGGGACAGGTCATCTATTTTATTTGATTTAAATATATACATTGTGTTTAATTTAAGAAGATCTTAACCAAAGGACTTGGTTTGGATGTGGTTTTATTTTGGTTGTACTGACTGGAGGAGCCACAAGTGTGACACAATGATCACATTCAAAGGCTTATCAACTGTAACTAAGGGCTCCCTGGAACAACCCCAGAGAGAGATACAGACCTATGGACACTGACAGTGTGCTAGCCATAACACAAAGGTGTGTGGAATGTAAGATATTGCTACAATACAGGCCTAAACATGTTTTTCTTCCCCACATTACTGTGAGGGGTAAAATAAGTATAATTGACGTAACCAAATACTTTGTTCAATTCAAAACCTGGCCATATACAGTACATGTAAGATATTAACACTAAAGGGGGGTATTGTTATTGTGAATATATTAAACTCTATCTGTCACTTCTACATTTCTTCCATTAGGTTTTCCTTGTTATTACTGCACAAGCTGTTCTCCAGACAGAATAAGCTTGGTTGCTTTTGTTCTATTATTTCACACATGATGTTATTGTGCCATGGCTCAAACTAAATATTGACTTGGCTGCATGACACATTATTGGATATGAAGACTTATGTCAAACACAACAACAACACAGCAGAACTATCTTCCTCCCTGAACCGATTCATATGAAAACTAAGCACCTGGAGACTCTGTTGCTTGGTCCTCCATTTGATGAGCAGATTTTTGTAGAGAAGACTTCTTGTTTGGTGCCAGACTCCAGCATCTCTTCTATATACGGGCTGCATACTTCCAGCATGCCTCATCTGGATGACGTATGGACGAGAAGTCGTCTCCGTAATGCTAGCCTCAGCTGCAAGTAAACAAATGTTTAAATTCAAAATAAAATGATAAAAAACCCTTTCTGTCACTTGAGCTGGATTTATAAAACAAGCTTCATTGCTATAACACATAACAATAATGAAAGCAGTAACGCCACTTTGACTTACTTTCAACGCATACTAAGCTTCATTTCTTGCATTATTATTTTTATTCAGATAACCATTTAAATAGCCTTTATCAATCAATCATCAATGTTATGCGTCACTTGAAATTGTATTAAGGACAATTCCAGTGAAATGCATTTAGGGCTCTGAAAAATACATGTTCATGACATTTGATAGACTAAACATTATTTGTTGATGAACAAATATTGTTGCGGCCTTAACATACTGTACCTTTATGGTGGCACTTATACATTACACACAATTCATTAATAACTATGATATGATGAGATGCAAGGAAGACACAAAGATAAACACACATTCAATACATCCTTTAGAGCACTAATGTGTGCATTATGCCTTTACTTCTGCAAATTAATGTAGGTCCTTCATTTGCATGCATACAAAACATAGATGATCTGAAAGAATGAGCTTTAAAATGAACTATGTTGCTTTTCCTACTGCGGTCAAGCCAGCCGTCTTTCACTTTTGCGTGGTCAAACCAGCCGCCGCTGTATTTCGAGTGCGCGATTAGTTACAGGTTTACGGTAATGCAATAAAACAACCCTGGGAAGCTGGACGTTTCGTATGTGCAGTATTATATATTCGACCACTTTAAAGCTACAGAAAATCCCACCGAGGAACACTTCCGGTGAGGATTTCAAAGTAAAGGATGGCATGTGGTTCATTTCTATTATTTGCGATTGAGGAACGGGTAATTTATGAGAATAATGTTAGAACTTATTGCTTCATAAACTTGTTGCACAAATACTATGAACTACTTTGACTGTGTACTTTTTGAGAATGGCAAAATTCCCTCCAGAGAACAAGAAGGAGCATTTTCGTCAACTTTAATGTGGTCTAAAAAACATTTCTTCCATAAGTAGTTTATGAAACTGCCATGTTCTTCTGCCCTAGTTGCAGAGAAAGCTATTCCAATTGCTTGCCCTGGCTTCTTGGAGTTGGTCCTGATTCATCCCCAGGCACTGCTCATGGAACCATATTTCACAGGTGTCACACTGTATCTGTAAAATGAAATGAGTAACCATCAAATCTGATACATCTTGTCATCGGAAATGATGAAGTAATGAAGTGCAATAGAGAATCATTGTGGCAAAATTAGATAGTAGCATACTCGCCTCAAACACCAGTTTAATATCTGAAAATAACTTTTAAATACATTTTCAGTTTTTCAAATAAAAATGTTTTTTAGGTAGTTATCGGTAGAAGATGAATAGTTCTGGGAAAACCCCATGTTGCATCACTATAATGTAGTTACCTTTTGGTATTCTTAATTGGTCAGTTATGTATTGCATACGAGCTGCTTCTCCCTGCTTCCCATATTTTGATAGTGACTTACAGGATGTTGGTGTGTGAAAGAGGACAACAGCAGATAACCATGACCATCAAAATGTACTTAGACAAACAGTAGTGCAGAATGCCCCATTTAAGAATAATATATATTACTGGATTATAATTATTGATGCCTTAATGTGTTCATCTTTAATGTTGCAGCGGGTAAAGGTGGGAATCATTATAATTACAGTAGTATATACTGTTGGGTCGCTTAATCTATAACCATATATCATATTATTCATTTATTTTTATTGTATATTAATAATATTAATCGTCAAACTACATAGAAGTTAAAGTTAACAAATACATTTAGTGGAGTAAAAAGTACCATATTTGCCTGGAACATATAGTGGAGTAGAATTTATTTATTAATAAAGTAGCATAAAAAATTACAGTGAAGTACAAGTACCTCAAAACTTTATTTAATTACAGAACTTCAGTTAACTTTCTTAGTTACATTCCACCTCTTAATTTGTGGCATTAACAGTGTATGTGTAAGGAGCAACCCTGTCTCATAAAAAGTACGTTCCCACAGAACTAAACTGCATTCTCAATTACGTTTAGCTAGAAACGTATTTTCTCCCACGTTATGTTCGTTATGAACGTATCTCAAATACGTTTATTTTCTACATATCTTCTAGAAACACATTTTCTCCCACGTTACGTTTCTTATGAATATCTTCAGCTTTCTGTCCCGAGTCAGAACTAAACATGGAGAAGCAGCGTTCAGTTATTATGCTCCAAATATCTGGAACAAACTCCCAGAAACCTGCAGGTCCGCTGCAACTCTGACTACTTTTAAATCCAGGCTGAAGACTTTTCTTTTTGTCGCTGCTTTTAATTGAACTATTCATATCTTAGACTGCACTGTAACTTTTATCCATGTATTTTTTCTTTTAATGTTTATTTTATTATCTTTTCTTTTTAATGACTGATTTTAAATGCTATTTTCTTAATGTCTTTCATTTTTGTAAAGCACTTTGAATTGCCTTGTGTTGAAAAGTGCTATATAAATAAACTTGCCTTGCCTATATGAACGTATCTCAAATACGTTTATTTTCTACATATCTTTATCATTTATTGTCTTGCTTATAATAATGATAATAGTCATTTATAAATATCATTTTAGAGCACACATTTGAAATCAGTAGGCGAGGCTGTAATTTCGCCAGCTGTTACTCTCATGAGCGAGGCAGAAAATAATAGTTTTAACATGCCAAAAAGCTGCTGTGTCGTTTATTGCACCTCAAACATTAAAACAAATCCAGAGTTACGTGTTTCTGTACTTCCTCTAAGAAGAAAGGAAGATCTCTGTGCCTTCATGCTTGATCGCCATTCAAATGACAGCGTTGGTGTCCCCAAAAGTGGGCGGGGCTGTAAAGTGACGTAGATTTTACTCTCATCTATTATTCAAAAACATTCTATTTATTCTAACGTAAATTACATGCCAGTGTTTTATCTTTTTATTACTTATATTTGTATACTTTATTTGCTATGAGTTATATCTGAAGCAAATTATGTTTCTGAAGATGTGTAGTCAATTCCACCCTTCAATGTAGCATAAATGTGAACTCTCATTACAGGAACAATACCGGAAACAGACGTAGGAAAGATCCTCAACTCGCTGATTGGATGAATAGTCAGGGGATTTGGGTGATGGGAGACACATCCATGGAATCACAATTTCAATAGCTTACCATTAAATGACGGATATGCCTTTCTGTCTGTGATGTTTTACAAATCAGATATTAATGTGTAGAAGTAAAACATGAGAAATAATATAGCAATATCCTGTACAATTATGTAAAAACATGAATAAAACTACACATCTTCAGATGTTATACATACATAAGTGTCCTACACTAATAATACAAAGTCATTATTAGTATGCTGTGTGTACCTTGTGTGCACCGCCTAGTGGTTAAAGCACGTTATTGAATTATTTTTGTTGAATAATGTTATTTTTGTTGAATAATGTTATTTGATGAAAAAAATATTAAGAGTACATACTTTCATAGGGGGAAAGTAGAAGGTCAATGATAGAAATATAGAATATAAAAAATCAAGAAAATACTGTAAGTGATACAATAAAACAGTTTAGTGCAGGATGTACAAAGATATTAATATGAGGATGTGCAAAACAGGCAAACTAATTAAATAAATGTTTAGTCTTCTCAAGCACCAACTATCAAATATCTCTCCTGATTGTTGGCACTTGACAATCACCTTTCCCTGAATTTTACTCAGGTGTAACTAAAGTCTGATTTAAGGGTTGTTTATATTTCACATCATTAATCAGAATCTGCAAAGTAACTAAAATAAATGTAGTGGAGTAAAAATACCAGGTTAACCTCTGATTTGTAGTGGAGAATTACAAAGTAACAATGAGCTGTCATGTGGGTATATATTAATGCTGCCCATTATGGATACAAGCGATTTTCCCCCATTTAGTAATTACATGTTTTAAATGTGTACACACCAATTTGTTTCCTATCGCCTAAACCTCCAGGGCTGTAGGCCTACAGTTTAATACCGTCAACTTCTAATTTTGGGAAAAACGAAAACATCTTTTAAAACTACAATTCCCAGTAGAGACGTGCCATAGAGAACATGTTGCGAAACACAATAGCCAGCATGTGTAGTTCTCGGGGGGCGTTCGAGTCACAGCCCCACCTAGTGTCAGCAGAAAGTATTAAAATAATGATTACAACAAAATGCAAAAAATAAATTAAAAAAATATATAAAATATATTTTAAGATCATGGTTGATCATCTGATTCGTCTGTACATTGCTGTTTTAGTCTGTGTTCTTCTAATTAGTGTCTACAGTGTGTGCCTATTGAGCTGTTTAGAGCCATGTGGGACAAAACCCGATCCTGCCCCTCCCTCTCACTGTCTAAGTGAATGGTGACTGTAAAAACTACACTGCGCATGCTCAGAGTATTTTCCTATTTAATGTGTGTGGCAAAAAATAATGACCATAGGGGCATAGAGCTGCCATCCCCACCATACGTCATCTCACATCATTCAGAGCTGATTGGCTGTAAGTACGTGTGCCGCGAAAAGTGTGGTGTGTGAAGAGGAGATGACAGACGCGTCCTAAAACCAGGAAGTAAGCTGCGCATGGCTTCCCTCCACAAAAAAGCAATTCGATTTCTCCATAGGATTTTAGAAAATAGCTCAAAATAAGATCTGTGGGAAACGTAGCTGTTAGATAAATGTACGGCCGGATAATATCCACATGTCTACCCTACTTTTATAATTTTCGAATCATAAATCCATCATTTAGATTTATGATAGACTTTTGAAACTACAAGAAGATAAGGAGGACTTTTACAAAAAAGTAATAGAGATTTTTGTCCAGAAGGATAGGCAAATGGACTTCATCTTCAAGTCAAGGTAAGACCGCAATTTTATTGAAAATGGGATCTTACTAAGAGAGAGAGAGAACAATTCAATATTTAAATGATAAAATTAAATTTGTTGGGTATCCTTCTGTTGAACTGTCTGTTTAAAATTAATTGAAGCATCAGACCAAAAAAGCTTTTGAAAATAATATTATATTTTGATTTAGGTCAAAATATAATATTTGTAAACCTGAAGGGTCAGTGCCAGTGCCTCACCAGCCATGAACCTCACTGCAGAAGATTATATATAGACATCTGAGTTTTTTGTGCCCCACCACTTTTGTACATATAGAAACGCCACTGGACGCTCGGCGTAACCTTGGCGCACTGCCACTCCAACATCCAATCCCAGAGCTTGAAGATTAATCACGGGGTTTGTCAACGGGACTGTAGTCCCAAACGATAGCTGGGGATTATGGGTAGTGTAGTGTCTTCGGCCATCCTAAACTGATTTTTTTCCCGGATATCATATCGCATTAACAACACCACATCTGGCATCACAGAGATCTTCTGTTACTGTCCTTTCTTCTTAGAGGAAGTACAGAACCACGTAACTCTGGATTTGTTTTAATGTTTGAGGTGCAATAAACGACACAGCAGCTTTTTGGCATGTTAAAACTATTATTTTCTGCCTCGCTCATGAGAGTAACAGCTGGCGAAATTACAGCCTCGCCTACTGATTTCAAATGTGTGCTCTAAACTGATATTTATAAATGACTATTATCATTATTATAAGCAAGACAATAAATGGCAAAGATATGTAGAAAATAAACGTATTTAAGATACGTTCATAACAAACGTAACGTGGGAGAAAATATGTTTCTAGAAGATATGTAGAAATAAACGTATTTGAGATACGTTCAAAAACGAACGTAACGTGGGAGAAAATAAGTTTCTAGCTAAACGTAATTGAGAATGCAGGGTTGGTAAGGAGATGAAAAGGAAAGAATGATAAAAGTGAATCAAACCAGCAGTCAAACATGGTGGTGGAAATATTACATTCTCTAGGAGTGACTTTGCCATTGGATTATTGAAAAAGTACACAGTAAAAGTAGTTCATATTATTTGTGCAAGTAGTCTAAGAAGTACTAAGTACAAACATGGCAGTTTCATAAACTACTTATGGAAGAAATGTTTTTAGACCACATTAAAGTTGACACAAATGCTCATTCTTGTTATCTGGAGAGGACTTTGAAACTCAAATTACTCAAAAAGTGCACAGTAAAAGTAGTTCATATTATTTGTGCAAGTAGTAGAAGTATTAAGTACAAACATGGCAGTTTCATAAACTACTTATGGAAGAAATGTTTTTTAGACCACATTAAAGTTGACGAAAATGCTCCTTCTTGTTCTCTGGAGGGAATTTTGCCATTCTCAAAAAGTACACAGTCAAAGTAGTTCATAGTATTTGTGCAACAAGTTTATGAAGCAATAAGTCCTAACATTATTCTCATAAATTACCCTGTTCCTCAATCGCAAATAATAGAAATGAACCACATGCCATCCTTTACTTTGAAATCCTCACCGGAAGTGTTCCTCGGTGGGATTTTCTGTAGCTTTAAAGTGGTCGAATATATAATACTGCACATACGAAACGTCCAGCTTCCCAGGGTTGTTTTATTGCATTACCGTAAACCTGTAACTAATCGCGCACTCGAAATACAGGGGCGGCTGGTTTGACCACGCAAAAGTGAAAGACGGCTGGCTTGACCGCAGTCTTTTCCTTCATCTCAGTGAGCCATACACAGCTGCTTTATAGCAGCTAACACTGGGGTGATGACGACCACTGGCAGGGACCAGGGGTAGACGTGTGGACAATGATAACTGCAATATCACTCTGTAAAGTGGCTTTTTTTTGCAAAGCGTACGGGAGAATGACACCTAGCGTACTGTCAGATGAGCATTTAGTTAGCTGACGTTAGCCTCTGAACCAACGCTACCCTGCTGTGGGGTATTTTGGGAAGGCTGAAATGTCAGCATTAGGGGAGCACCGTATTCACCCCTTTGTTCCAATGATGAATGGAAATTAGAAAACGTGTATGCGATTCTGTGAGCAAAATGAACAGCTAGAAATGACACGTTTGTTCTGCATCATCTGAGCTCGCGCTGAATGCGGTGAAGCAAAATAATCAAGCTAGCAAGCTACAGCAACACAGCCGATAACGAGGAAACATATATAAGCACTGATAAAAAGAAAACATTTCACATACTCACGTATAAAATACATTAAGGCATATCTTTCCTCGACGTGCGGTTTAACGGCCTTACATTACAGATAATGTTTTATGTCAAGAAGACCCCCTGAATGAGCTGTTTTTTTACCTAGCTACTTCCTACTGTCAAAATACAGAACAGTGACGCTGACCAATCAGATCTGTCTAGGTGCTAATGACAAAGGTTTGCGCCAATCAGAATTAAAACAAATGGCTTTTATTTTCATATCAAAAACAGAACAATAGCAAAAATACTTAATACTTAATATACTTTGTGGTTTTATACCATAAACCACAAATGCTACTGGCCCGCATAAACATATGGAAGCAAGCATATATATACTGATTTAGAATCTGAATATAATGAGTTAGATTAGTCATTATTTTGAGGCACTCATTCATTCTTTTAACACACTAAGTCATTATCTTTTGATGTACTAGGTCATGGATAGCCAACTTGCTCTACCCTTGGGTCACTTGTCCAAAATAACAACAGGCCAGGGGCCAAAAAAGTACCCTTGAACTTTGAATATAATAAAGAAGCTCACTTAGTCACTCTGGTGCTTTGTTAATGCAAACCTATGCCTTATGTACATTAAGATTACAAGTATTAATTCCGATTGTGAATAGATTTATTTTATTTGTTCATTTGAAAATGATTGCGGCCGCCAGAAACCTTACTGGCCCAAATGTGGTCCGCTGGCCATATGTTAAGTATCCCTGTACTACTGTAAGTCATTCTCAAGAGATAATAAGTAATTATTTTGACAAAGTGTTACATTATAATGAACAAAATACATACAGAATATACATATACATTCATGAAATTGGCAGAAACAAGTGCCGGTCTTTTGAAAACTCATTGCCTCACTTTGTAGACAAACATATAAAACCTACATAACTTCTTTTTTATAGTGTTTGACCTTTAACCTCTCCTAAGATGCATGGTGAATTTGTCATGAGATATGTATACAATGATGCACAAAAAGACTGAAATGTATCAATTTGATTCAGCCATAAAGCAAAGGTCAGTATATATAATTTGAATTTTACATTACATCATATGTTCGCCACGATGAGCTGTAACAAGCTTAAATGAAACTGTCAATCGGTATAAAAAAGATGGTTTCAGCAACCTTGAATCATTATAAAGGGGGAGTCAGGATGGGGTTACAGAACATGTCGGTGTTGGTGTGTACTCTCATACTCATGTATGCGTTCTGAAAGAGGAGATGATTGTGGCGAGTGTGTGTAAAAAGGTTCCGAGATGTCTCTGAATTGGAGGAAGCCATTAAGCAGGGAGGGCACAGGGAGCCGTTCTACTACATCCGTTCCCATCAGTGAATCTGACCCCAGCACCACCCTGACCTGCAGCCGACACATGTGGGAGAGGCAGGGGATGGAGTCTGGAAGGAAGGGAGGAGAAAAGAAAAAAGGGAAATTGTGATAACCTGAAGTTGACTACAGTTTAGTCAAAGCAAATCTGAAGTGTATTTGTTCTACCAAGATGAGGACATGGTTCCCAGGTCTTCTCTGCTCGTCTTCGATCCAGAATATGTTTCAAAGGGGGAGATAGAGTCGACCAGTTCACAAACTCTAGCAGGTAATTCAGCACCTCACTGTCTGCCTGCTCCAACCTAGAAAGCAAAACAAAATAAATTGATCAACCATCTGATACTTTACTATGGAATGAAAAAGTAAAAAGTAGACCTGCACAATTTATGATTTCATTCTTCTACTAAAAAAACAACAAAATGCTTGTTTAATGAATACAATTAAAGGACATTATTTCCAAAAATAATACCCTATTTATTAATTGTGTTAGCTGCAATGTTGCCTTTCATAGTGTTTATTTGTGTTCAGATATTTGTATCCTTCACAGTCAACTTGAATATATTTTACTTTTTTGTTCCGTTTTTTTTCTTTATTTAGATGTTTATATTTGTTTATTTTCTACTCTTTTTATTTTTCAAAAGATGTAAAATGCCTTGTTTGAACATGTTGCTGTAACGAAAACATCTCCTAATTTGGGATCAATAAAGTATATCTTATCTTATTTATTTCCAACTGAACACAAAAGGCCCCAAAAGTGCAGATTTGCTTTGATACTCCCGTGTAACGGACAAATAAAAAATCCTTGTGCGGACATTGCAATGACTATAAAATCATATATTGCAGAGCCCTTGTGAGAGAAGAGTCTTACATGTGGGGCTGAAGCAGCAAGGAAGGTTCCAGTCCTGCCTTCAGTAGCAGAGGAAGCCAGCAGGCGGCAAAGTGTACTTGGTTTAGAGCCACACAGAGCAGGTCCCTCACTTCCGGCAGCTTTAACACAGTTTTCCCAGGATGATGCGGTGCAGAGCACTTCCTGGTCGCAGTATCCTGCCGAGGGATCCATCTGTGCTTCAGTATCAGTTGCAGCAGGTCTGTTTTGTCCGTGGCCAAGGCATAAATCCAGTCCTTCTCACTCCATCTTGCTCCTGCAGCTATCAGCAATTCACTAAAAGAGATTCTAATCAAAACCAGGTGGGGAGTAACAAAGTACATTTAATCAAGTACTGTACTTAAGTACAATTTTGAGATACTTATACTTTACTTGAGTATTTCAATTTAATGTGACTTTGTACTTCTACTCCACTACAATTCAGAGGTTAATCGTGTACTTACATGTATTTTGTACCTTTAGTTACTTTACAGATTTAGATTTATAATGTGAAATCTAATCAAGTGTTAAATCAGACTTTAGTTCCACCTGGAGTAAATCCACCAGCTACCCTGCAGTATACAAAGTCATTCAAACTAGCTGCACCTTTACCAGCTTTGAGAACACTTTCATGATCAATCATTAGAAAACATATCATAGATATTATTCTGAAATGGGTATCTGCAGTCATTTCTGGTACTTGAAGTATATTTTGATAGTATTACTTCTGTACTTTTACTTGAGTGAAATTTTGAATGCAGGACTTGTAACAGAGTATTCCTACACTCTGGTACTTATACTTGTACTCAAGTACAAGATCTGGGTACTTCTCCCACCTCTGCAAATTATGTATTTTATTTTGTTACTGGAGTGCGTGAGGAAGTCAGATGTGCTTTTTAACAAACCTCTTTGGCTCGTTGGATGTGCGACACAAGGTCATGAAGAGTGGGGAACGGATGTCCAGGATGTCAGTGCAGTCCTGGGCATCTGGGCTGTAACCTTCCCTCAGGAGCATCTCCACACTGTCGCTCTGATCGTACTGCAGGGCCACATACAGTGGACTCACCATGCCTTCCCCTTGGTCACACACACGATCTGTGGCAGCTATCAGCCTCTTGAGGACACTGGATGGACAACATTGGAGAGGGTTAAGGAAAAACAGGATGGGTACATTTGCATTCAGCAACACGGAAGAAGGGTAACATGTGTTTTTAAATTATAATTAGTGCTGAGAAGTGATTTGTTAAACACTCAATAAATATTATAAAAATAATATATTTTATATATAGGGGTCTTTCCATCAAAAACAATGACCAAAAAAACAGAGTATTGGTGGCGTTGTAAAATGGTATTGGGTCCTAGGAGTTTCCAGAACACTGAATAAAACAATTTCACGTAAAATATCTGCATCTCAGTGTTAGCTACAGCAAACATTTATTCAGTTTGTTTCTCTGATAACTTTTGATAATTGATTCAACCTCCTCCAGAATTATAATCTCCTGACCTGTGACAGCATTGTTTATCATATTGATGATAGCTTGGAGTACAAAGTGATCAATAATCTGGCTTCTCAACCATTAAAAAGTCCATATTATAAAGCACCAACAGGGCATTTCTCTCTTAATGCAATTTTTTTTAGCCATCACAACTAGATATAGCTTCTGTATACAAAGTCACACTCTAAGAAGGTAAGGAGCCAATGGCCAACCATATGTCTAGTTAGGCGTCAGTACCCGATGTGTCCAAACTCAACAGCGGCATGAATGGGAAGCTGGGGCCATAAACGACTGCAGGATATGTTGGGATCGGCCCCGTGGTCCAACAGGAGATCCACACACCCCTGGTGGCCCTCCTGAGAGGCGATCAGCAGCGGCGTGGCCAGATCAGCTGCCTGGGTGTTCACATTGGCACCTAAAGTGAGAACCAAATCAAACACAATTGATTATGAATATTACTTACGGGGTTAGGGTTAGAGTAGTTAGTTAGTTAGAGTAGCTGGGACTCCAGAAGAGATCATGTTGGCATGTACAGTATGTTTAGTGTTTTGCTGTTGTACCAAATGTATTGTTAGAGCCAGTATTTTGTTTTTATAAGAAAGGCCACCTAATTGTGACGTCTGTAGTCAACACACTATAAAAGACTACAATTCCCAGGGTGCCTGTGCTAAAGTGACAGTGATGGGCAACCTGCTAGAAAGACGCCGTCGAGGAACAGTTTTTAACCGTCCAATTACCCTTTAAGTTATTAAGTTATATAAGCCTTATCAAGAAAGAAAGAATACCTAAGTTGTTTGTTATTTTATTTGAGTTGTGCCTATTTGTTTTGAATATTGTAAAGGCCTCTTTTCTTTGTTGCATGTGTAAAAGTTTGTTGTTTTATTTTGAGCAACACATCGCATAACATCATCCAAACCATCAGAGGCCAAGCAACTCTTCAACTGTAAGTAATATAAAGGAAAGGAAACGAGTGAAACATTTCTGTTTAAGGCGTCTAGTGGCTTGATAGATAAACAAGGAAGGAAGCCACGACATGTATGTTAAGTGTTTTTTGTATTTGTTGTAACGCCTTGTTGGCAATACTATGTTTAAGATGTGGTCATGCCAATAAAGCACCTGTATTGTAATGTATTGTAAAGAGGTCGATTGTTGGAATTGGTCAGGTCTCTGACAATAGACTATGGGCGGCTGTGGCTCTGGAGGTGGAGTGACGGAGATAGAGCTGTCATCCATCAAGTGGAAGGTTACCACGGCCCATGCTGTCAACAAGTCAAAGTGTCCTTGGACAAAATAATGAAACCTTGAATTGCTCGCCATTGCATAGTGCGAGTGTGTGAATGGGTGAAGCTGACTATAAAAGAGCTTCATAAATTCAGTGAATTGACCATTCTATTATTCTAGTATTCTTTTAAAAACAATCATTTGAACTTCTCGAATGTCAATATTGTCCTCTGTGACAGTGAATTGAAAAAAACATGACATGTTGAGAAGTCGTCTTGGGCTTTGGGCGCCGATAGACATTTTGATCATAATCAAAAGATAATAGGCCAATCAACGAATAAATACATTTTAAAAAAGAAAACCAAATTGGCAAAAAGCAGAAGTTACAGCCCTTTCTCTGACTTAAATTAAATTACAACAACTAAAGGTCTACTTGGAGCTACGAAAAAAAAGTACATGCACAAAGACAGAAAACAGCTATTTACCAGCATTTACAAGAATTTCCAGACATTCCTGCTGTCCATACTGTGCCGCCACAAAGAGCGGGGAGATCTTGTGGTCATCTGGTGCCTCCAGGTTGCTCCTATTGGCCAGAACGCGCACAATATCACTGTGACCCTTAGGAGAAGGGAAACAAGTTTCTATGAAAGGATTGGCCTCAGAGAGTTGTGTGTGTGTCTGTGACTTCCAGTATTACCTTATAAACAGCCTGATGCAGGCAGGTCCAGCAGGACGAGGTGTGTGTTCTGTTGACCTCTGCACCTCTGCTGACCAGCAGCTCTACAACCGCCGTGTGCCCGCCGTCTACAGCTGGTGGAAAACAGATCGTTAAGTTTGCAGATAGAATTGATTTATTTGTTTATTCCACACATGGCAGTTATTTTAAAACAAAACATCTACACTTTAAAAAACATGTACACTTATACTAGTTTTTTTTCTTTCTATAGCGCATGGTGGAAAGGAGCAGGGAGAGGAAAAACTATTTTTACCTGCCCTTCTTCAAAAAAAGTAAAATAAAAGCAATATTCTTTCAGTCACAGTTGCTTACAAATACTGAAGCATAAAACCAGAACACAATCAAAAGTCAACTTCATACTGTCTAATTACGTTTTCTTTATACATTTTCTCAAACACAAAAATGTTCTTACAGCCCTTTAAATCATTCGGCAAAGAATTCCACTTCTTTACGCCAACTACAGAGACACACATCTGCTTTAAAGTAGTACGTGAAAACTGATGCTTAAAATGTAATTTAATCATATCAAATGTAACACGAAAAGGAAATGTATATAAGATTCTTGTTGTAGCAGCAACAGAATGATAATGAGAATACAAAATCAAATAAAATAAGAATAAACATGTAGTAATAGTATGAATAGAGATAACAAAAATGATTTGATGAGTTCAAATCTGAACAGGTTCATGTACATAAATACAGATATGTATAAAGGTTTAAATGTGCTCAGTGTCCAAGTACCTGCATACAAAGGACAGGACAGGTTGTTTGTTAGCTGGTTGATGTTGGAGTGTGCCTTCAGGAGGAGTTGGACCGCTGCCAGGTGTCCACGCTGTGCTGCCAGGTAACAAGCAGACTCACCCTCATGGGTCAAAGAGTTCACGTAGTCACTGGCACCACCAGACGAGCCTGCAAATCACAGAGAGAAGGAAAACATTACAATTACATTATGTGTTGCTAAAATTCAAGTTTAGCTATTGAGTTCATTTATTAAACTTATTGCACTACATTTATATTAATGAACATTTGTTGTGAACCTGTTCCTATTTCTTGCTGTCTTTTTATTCAAATATTATTTTGTATTATTTATATCTTTAGTATTGTAACTGGTACCATGGAAAAACAATTTCCCTCCTCTATATCATGCACTGTACTGTATACATTTAAGTGACATTTAAGTATCCATCCACATTATCTCAGGTGTGGGCATTCTTTTTCATTTATCATTTTAAATGGTATAGCTTTGGGTCCAATTTTCATGCCAAATTGATTTGTCCATTGACTGATTATTTCATTAGAAGAACACGTATTAAGTTTGAGTCATTAATCAATTAAAATAAATTCTCTGCTGGTCCCATATGCATAAACCGCTGCCTAGAAAGCTGGTTCGCAATGTCCACCCCTCTGTCTCCCCCATTCAACTCTATGATCTCAGATAAAGTCCTTTCTGGCCCCAAAAACACTCTCTGCTTCCAGTTCTAAAATGTGATAACTATAACCCTGAATTGAACAATAACCCTTCTTACCGCCCCCAGCAGACAGAATGTCCTGCACACACTCCTTGCTGCCAGCAGCTGCCGCCTCGTGTAGAGCATTCCAGCCGCGGTTGTCTCTGCAGTCCACACTGAAACCTCTCTTTATCAGCCTCCTCACCCGCTTCCTACACCCTGAGCGAGCTGCAGCAGCAACTCTGGACACTGTGTCTCCATAACCCTCTGTGAAGTCCATCCCCTGCTTCAAAAAGAGATAGGTCTTTTAATCATGCCATAGTTTGTCTACAATTATTTTTGTTGCAGCATTTATTGGAGAAAAGAAAATTGAACAGTATGTTTTTAACAGTTGATTACCCTGAACTTTAAGTATAATTCAACTGAAAAACCAAAAAAAAAATCGTTTTATTTCGATTATGTTGTTTTCATAATCGTTGCAGGCCAAAATCGTAATTGCGATTAAAATACGATTAATTGAGCAGCCCTAAAGTACAGTAGTTAAGTACAAATGTAAGGTACTTGTACTTTACTTCAGTCTTTCCATCTTTTGCAACTCTTTACTTACACTCCACTAGTTCTCAGGGGTAAGATTTGTACTTGTTAATGCATAACATTTGTCGATCATCTTTAGTGAATTTCCTGATAGCAGTTATTCTTCCACTTCTATCCAGTGGAAAAAATGCAGCAAGTTGATTTGAAATGTTTGCGATAAAATGAAGCGTGACATTTTCTTGAGAAATGATAATACTTTTAAGCTAAGTAAGCCTTTGGGTCAGCTTATAAAACAGATCATCACGAAGCTCAAAGCTGAGGTTTTTCTGAGCTCATTAAAAGTTGACTTTTTATAGATTTGTGGAACAAATATGGCGATCTTATAAAATATGATGCATTGCTGTAGATTCAAATATACAATAGTATTTAAAGGAGTTAAAATAAGCACAACCCGGTCCCTAAATATCCACAGCAGTAATGTATCCAATACATCATATACAAGTGAAGAACACTGCCAGGGAACATGTTACTGCACAATGACTGCTTTAACATTAAGTACTTTAAGTAAATGTTGCTGATAAAACTTACATTTTTCTACTTAAATGATGGTATTGCATGGTAACGTTTCTTGTAGTTGGTTAGGATTAGTCTGGTACTTTTTATTCAGTAATCTGTATACTTCTGATACCACAAAATGACATGTTTACCAGTTAGCATAGGGTTCTATAACCAATAGAGGATACATTATAATGAGCTTTAAAACACCAAAACACCACTTTAGCCTCCAAGCTAGCATCGCTGACCATAACAACTGGGTTTAAATTAGCAAGCTTTAACACATAACAATTATAGACTGATAACAGTAAAGCCTGCTGGTCTCCATTCACTGCATGTACATACAAAAAACACAAGCTTAAACACAACTCTAAATACAATTTTAAAGAACTCACAAACTCATTTGTTGTACTGAAAAAACGTCCTTATTTACCAAAATAGTATCCGGGATGCTTGACATCTCACGAGTCGCTGTTTAATGACGTCACGTCAAAACATCCAGTCGCTTTCTGCCTGTAGTTCGATCCATCGATGCCTTGGATTCTGTGTTAGCTAGAAATCAGAAATTGGCTGCTTTATCAACACTTTTGCCCTACCCACTGCAACCGTAGTTATTTGTAATACTTCTTAAGAAATGTGGAGGCTAGAATTCAGGAAAACAAGCTAAACAACGGTTTCAGCTGGAGCTTAAAGTCAGCAATAAAGGTAAGGTAGCTTGGTATAGGCAAGCTATACTGTTTATGATCAGTTACTGTGTTGTAGCAAATACTTGATTTACACCTTGTAAATTGTGTTACATGTATGTTTTAGTTCAGCTCTCATTTTGATAGGAAGTGAAAAAGAGATAACATTTAAATTGCCATCTTAATGTTGAATAAGTTACCAAGTAAAGGGTTTAAATTAGCTCACATAAATATATGTAGTCTAAGAAATAAAGTGTCTGAGATAGAGGAAATATTATCATGTGGTATTCATTTGTTAGAGATATCTGAAACTCACTTAGATGACACATTTAATGACGCTGCTGTGGATATTGATGGATATAGAATATGTAGAAAGGACAGGAATGCATATGGAGGTGGGGTGGCAGTATACATTCAAAAGCAAATACCAGCTAAAGTGAGATATGAGTTGATGTCTGCTGATATTGAAGTACTTTGGTTGCAAATTAATTTACCTCACTTGAAACCTTTGTTGGTAGGATGTTGTTACAGACCTCCAAATGCAAACTTCATTTATTTAGACAAATTATGTGAAATGTTAGACAAAGTTTGTGATCTTGACAGAGAGATTTATTTTATCGGAGATTTAAATATTGACTGGAATATGTTGCACTGTGCCCTTAAAAACAAGTTGCAGACAATAATTAATACATGTAACTTGGTACAAATGGTGACTAAACCTACAGGATATGCATAAAGAAAGATGGGTCAAAAAGTGCAACTTGGATTGATCATATATTTACTAATTTTAGCCATGTATGTTCTCCGGCAATATCAATTCCAGTAGGGTGTTCTGATCATAATTTAATAATTATCGTGAGAAGGACAAAGGTGCCAAAAGCTGGACCAAAAGTAATTGTGAGGAGATCAATGAAATATTTGAGTGAAGAGTCATTTATACAGGATGTTCAAAAGATATGTTGGAAACATGTTTTTGAGAAAGTCGATCCAGATGATGCTCTTGATGTCTTTAATTTGTTATTTATGCAGGTGATTGATAAACATGCTCCACTTAGAAAACAGACTGTAAGGAACTTTAGAGCACCCTGGTTAGATGAGGAATTAAGGGATCTAATGAAACAAAGAGATGATGCAAAACATGTAGATCTCTCATCAAGTTATGAGTCAGATGGGCAAATGTATAGAAGGTTAAGGAATTATGTTACAGCATTAAATTAAAAGAAAAAACAGTTGTATTATGGAAATAAAATTAAAGAGATAAAGGATGACAAGAAAAAACTGTGGAGTTTAGTGAATGGCATGATGGGCCGTAAGCCGAAATCCACCTCAACATATCTTGAGGTGGATGGGACATTTTTGACAAAACCAGTACAAATTGCTAATCATCTGAATGATTATTTTCTTGATAAAGTAAAACATTTGAGGAGAAATATAATTCAAACTATAAATAGTAACTCCACATTTCTAATAAAGGATTTAATTATGAAAAATAAGAAGTGTACATTTAAAATAGAAAAAGTGACAATTACAGATGTTGAATGTCTACTAGGTAAATGTAATGATAAACCACCAGGAGTGGATCATTTAGTTGGTACATTTCTTAGATATGTAGCTAATTTTGTTGCAGAGCCTATCTGTCATATTATACATTTGAGTATTGATAAATGTATTTGCCCACAGGCATGGAAAATAGCAAAAATTATTCCACTTGCAAAAAATCCAGCTGGACCATTTTCTGGTACAAATAGCCGTCCAATAAGTTTATTACCAGCATTAGCAAAGATAATGGAGAGAATCATTTTCAATCAAATACAAAAATACTTTGAAGGTAACAAACTTAATACTGTGTATCAACATGCTTACAGACCTGGCCATTCCACATGCACCGCTTTAACACAAATGACAGACTGGAAGGGCGAACTAGATAATAGGAAGTTAGTGGGTGCAGTACTACTCGATTTTAGTTCTGCTTTTGATGTCATTGACCATTCTTTGTTGTTACACAAGCTGGAACAATATGGTTTTCATTTTGAAACGCTGAAGTGGTTAGAAAGTTACCTGACAAATCGAAGTCAAACTGTTTTTTTTAATGGAAGTCTCTCAAAGATGAAAACAGTCACTTGTGGAGTACCTCAGGGTAGTTGTTTGGGACCACTTTTATTTTCTATTTTTACAAATGACCTACCATTAGTGTTAGAAAAAGCTAAAATTGTAATGTATGCAGATGACTCAACAATATATTATGCAGCATCAACTACAAGAGAGTTGACACATGTTATGAATAAAGATCTACTACTGATATCAGAGTGGGTCATAAATAATAAGTTGGTACTAAATGCGGGAAAAACAAAATCGTTTATTAATAGGATCAAATCATCAGTTAAAAGGTGAACCAAAATTGTAACTACATTTAAACCATATTGAAATTGAACAGGTCAAGGAGACAACATGGCTAGGTATAACCCTGGATCATAAATTATCTTGGTCTAAACAAATTGATAATGTTGTATGTAAAATGGGAAGGGGTGTGTCACTTGTAAAAAGAATTGTAAAATATTTGCCTATGGATATCAGTAGACAAGTTTTGGATGCTTTGGTTCTGTCGTAGCTTGATTATTGTTTGGTTATATGGTCTAGTGCTGCTGAAAAATATTTAAACAAACTACAAGTAGCACAAAATAAGGCAGCACGATGTGCACTGCAGAGCTCCTACAGAACCAGAGTCACTGAAATGCTGGAGACACTGAAATGGTTAACTGTCAGACAGAGGTCAACTTATATTTTATTACATGTTGGCAGAAATATTACAGTGACTAACTCACCAGATATATTATCACAAAGGTTTATAGCGCAATATGCTCAACATAACTATCACACGACATACAATAGAAGGAAGGTTTGTATTACCCAAATCTAAATCAAATATGGGATAGAAAACAGTACAGAGCCATGATCAGCTGGAACTCTTTACCGGTTCACATCATTCAGGAAAATTCTCAAGTACATTTCAAAAGGTTGCTAAAAAATTATTTAAGTATTACAAAGTAAATTTGAACTACGCCTGTGGCTATGTATGCATATATTATTATGTACATTTATTTGTATTTACTTTTGTTTGGCCTTAGGATGGCGATAATTGGATGGCCATTTTAGTTTTCACTTCATTTCGCTGTAAATTGCATAAAATTATGAGCTGTTTTGTTTTGTTTTAATTTTGTTGTATGTATGTTTATGTATGTTTTGAGTGTGTGAGGACCCCAGGAAGAATAGCCAATGCTCATGCTAGTGCTAATTGGGGATCCTAATAAAGACAAGACATCACATAACATAATAACACCTCAATATCATGTATGAATCATAGACTGTATGGTCATTTATTATAAACAAGATGCTAGACAGAGTATAGCTTTATCCTTTACATACATATCAGGGGAGAGCAACATACATAGGAAAACTGTACTTATGATACTGTTATAATGTTAGGGATTTAAGGAAAACAAAGATTAAAGCTTTAAAACAAATGCTTTAACATTACTCAATTTAGCTTACTTATTTTTGATACTGTTCTAAAGAAAAATGTGTGTCTTTTATAATATGTTTTCATATTTGTGATTGCACATGAATAGGGTTTTGTTTAGTTTTTCAGTGTAAGTGGAAAAGTGTGTATCACAATCATGTGCTAAACATGTTATAGTCTAAGAAGAGAGAGCCTGTCCTTCTGATTTTCAGAATCAGTAAGTTCCACAGTTTAGTGGCATACAAAAAACATATATATATACAAATATAAGGAGAATTTAAGAGGACGGACCTCCTAGGACTCCTAACAAGCTACTTTTCCCCCAAACTCATCCCCTAACCTGTCTCTTAACTTCCTACTTTGTGTCCCAGCCTATCTCCTAAAAGGTAACAGTCCCTGAGGCCTCGGCAGTATCATGGTGGACATTTCTGTGAAGAGCGGAGCTGCCTGGGTCTGTCATGCTCAGGGACATCACTTGGCTGATATCCTGCTTCCTGTTCACCTGAGTAACAACGACGATCATGAAGAGGAGCTCAGCCAGTCAGAGGGTGACAAGACAAACTGGTAAGAAGCTTCTACAGTCTATGAATTTAATTATATGTGGAAATGTGTGTGTAACATGGAAAAACAAATCTCTCTACTGTTTTTTCTGATAAAAAGGGCATAGATGAGTAACAAGTGCATAATTATCAGCACCTCCTATCATGCAAAATGCACTTTTATATGTCTTTTATACATGAATGTGTCCCCGGTGTGTCAGGGAACTCACAAAGTGTCAGAAAACAAAACCCTCTCTCTTTTCCTCCGTACCCAAATCTCTAAAAACGGGGGAACAACGGAGCTGATCCAGATTTGCTGTCGATATGACGTAATATTGGAAATGTGGGCTGGCTTTACGCCCACGGCCCTATCAGAAACGTTGCTATCAGAAACAATGCGCAACGTGTTTTTGACGTAATATGGTCTTTGTTTAAATTAGCAAGCATCACTAACACTTAGAGCTAACATTTACCGGAGAGAGTATGTGTAAAAAAGCCGGAAATAATAAAAGGAACTCACCTTGTGGGAAACCTGCAAGAGAAAAAGCATTTGAGCTCCATACTGTTTCAGAAACAATCCTTGATGTGGTTTTGAACATGATATGGCGTTTATTAGGGATGCTCCGATTGCCAATTTCGGGGCCGATCGCCGGAATCAGTATCGGCCGATACCGATCGCCGATCTGATCGAGTGGGCGGGGCCTAAATGGAAGATTTAAACATCACTTTAAATCTTCCATTTAAAGTGATGTTTAAACTTAGTTAATGGGGCTCATTCACTGGAGCTTCCACAAACAACAATCAACTTAATTATTACATTCAAATGATGTACATTATTCAAGTTTACATTCACTTTGGATAATAACACGGGAGAAATGAGCGGAAGCGCTCTCTTTTCCTCTCTCCCTCTCTCTCTCCCCCTCTCTCTCTCCTGACAGCCTGTCAGTATCTCATGCAGCTCACTGATCTAGTAATGAGTGACCCGACAGTGAAGAATAAATATATTTAGAGGTAGATAAAATAGCTAAGTGTGTTAGGTCTAACTCTTGTGTGTTTCGTCCCGCTTACCGGTCCGGCGGGCGGAGCTGCAGGATTTCTGCTTCACACGTTGCATACCGCTATTTTACTGTCTTTTTCGGACACCTTAAAATAATGCCAGACCGGTGAAGCCATGTTGGCGAGCTTGTTTTGCCGCACACAGAGAAAAGTGTCATGTATTTTACGTCATGCGATCGGCTCTCGCGATCGGCATGTTTAGAGAGCACCGATCGATCGGTAGAGAGTGAGTATCGGCCGATCTCGATCGGTGACCGATCGATCGGAGCATCCCTAGCGTTTAATCACGGCAGCATTTAGCTGAGTATCTCGGTAAAGCTAAGGACCCAGAATCAGCACTTCTCTAACAGGACTGAAATAGAGGGGTATGAGGCATGGCTAGAATGGGTGATCTGTTTGGTATTTTGAGCAAAACACATCATAGACACGAGACCCATAACATATGCCTACAAATAGCATAATAGGAGAACTTTAACAAGTATCCTCCTCTCACAGGGGGCCCCCAGTGTTGTTGGAGCAGACAGAGGAAGGGTCTCCTTGTGTCCTGATGCTCAACGGCAGCCCCTGCTCCCCCACTGCCATCAGCCGCGTACTGGTTATCAGCGAGGCTCGAACCATGGAGGTATACGACCAGACGGGAGAATACTGCGGTACAGTACGCGGGGAGCGGGAGGACAGCATCCAGCCAGACAGGTATACACACTGTTATCATCACTTGGGCTGTGGGTTTTAACCTTATACAAAGTAATCCATATCAATCTTCACATGTGACCCCCAGAACCCGGAAGTTCACTGCATGCATTTTCTAATTGAGTTGTTTTAGGGATATTTCCATGCTTCAACCTCCACCACATTTGACAGATCGTATGCACTCATCAGAGAGGAAGTTCAGAAAATGGCACAGCACAGGAAAAAATGCAAAGATGTCAAGGTGGAGCGCAAAGTAGACAAAGCCTGTTGAAATAACAAAGGTGAATCTAGGCTTGGCTTTCACTTGCTGGCCAACAACATAAGCCTTGTTTAGCTGGGGAGGAGGGCTAGACTCTGAATGTTGTGTTTACAAACTGCAGCCAACAATCCTACTAAGTGTGCCTTTAGGTTGGAGCTGATCAGACAGCTTTTTGGAAAATATATTTTTTTTAAATGACAAAAATGCATATGAAGCCCATACATAACAGCATTTAGATGAATCAAGATACTAGGGATGCTGTCGGGAAACATCTATGTACTTTTAATCAGTGACCTGTATTTTCACATCATCTCCTCTCTCTATTTTATGCTTTCCATGGACTGATTTATGTTTAGGTGCTAATAAAGTCTGAGTTAAATGAATGTCTGATAGGATTTTAAAGATCTGCTCCGTCTTTTGCCCACAGTTCAGACAGAGGGCCTTTCTACAAGAAACAGCTGATCCTCGAGCATCCGTCCTCATCCTGTGAAGTGAAGGTGAGCCATGATTTGAGAGATGTTTTATGCCTTTTAGAGACTCTTGCTTAGTAGAAACTGTTAAAACATCTATAAGGTGCCTCTTTTTTTCATGCACATAGATTTAAATAAATGTAATCATCTGGTTGTGTCCTCCTCTGGTTTGTGTCCCAGCTGCTCTCCCTGGGCGGTAGAAGCAGTGTTCTGGTGTGTCGGGTCATCGTGGCCCTTCAGACCCTGGAGCCCTGCGCGTCCCAGGGCCCCGGCATCGACATGCAGCAGGTGCAGTGTCTGGTGGAGGAGATGGGAACGAGCCTCTCTCCAGGAGCACAGAACCTCATGGAGATGGTGCACTTCCAGCAGAAGGTGAGTGTAAAGAAGCAGTGAGTTACCTAATACCTCCAACGACCTCTTCAGGCAAGGAGGGGGAATTACAACAACACTGAGCTAAAGGCAAGGACCCTTTCTCATTTAATCAAATCCCCCTCCTCGACTCCTCGGTCCTCCGGTAGTGACCCGGAAATGAATTTCAGTGCGCCATGTTGAAGGACATCTCATTTCTCTAAATGCACTTCGAGGACCGAGGATCGAGCGTCGAGGATCGAGGAGGCTCTCTGGAGGAGCTATAACCGAGGATACACTGATGGGTCCTCCACGGCTCCTTCGTGGATGCATTTCCGGGAACAGAGATGTTTCAAAGAGTTGTGACGCACGGCCGGACTTATCTCAGCCAATGACAGCTCTGCATGCATCCCCTGGATATTATTTTATTAACTGCTCTCATCGCAACACGATGTTTACAGAGAGAACAGCTGTGAGGTCCATGCAGAAAGCAGAGCAGTGTGTATAATATATATCACTCAGTATAACAGGCCTACTCTCTTTATTTGCTTTAGTTTAGTAGATATCTACAAACAAAGAGTCGATCTTTTTCTAAGACCATTTAGTGCTTCACATAATAAAATACACAACGGCTGTAGCCTGATAATATGCTTTAGGAGCTAGGTGTGTGTGGTACAGTGTGTAGGTGTGTGTGTTGTACAGTGCGTAGATGCAGCGGACAGACGGGTCTCAGTTGGTTTGGTGTCCTCTGCTTACTTTTAATATTTGTAAATAAAACTTTTGGCCCGTAATTTATTTCCCTCATTGTAGCGACCAGAGAGGAGGGGGGGGATATATCCAGTCTCTGATAGTGTTACGTTATTATGAGAGTGCTCTGTTTCATTCTGAAATGGTATATATTTATATAAATATATTCAAAGTAAATATATAAGTGGTCATGAACACATCTGTCCATCAGACAGAGGGCTGCTGTGCCTCCTGTCATCATTAATGGACGTCTCTTTAATATGACCGCTCAGAGGAGAGGAGTTCTCATTTCTCTAACCGCCTGCTGCTTCCCCTCCTCTCTCCTCGGTTCCCCTCCTCGGCTCCTCCGCTCGCATCTCCTGTGGGCGGGACTAAGTCTCGAGGATAGGAGTCGAGGAGGGGAGTCGAGGAGGGGAGTTAGAGAAATGAGAAAGGGCCAAGGTCTGTGCTGACCTTACCAAATCAATCTAAGATTTTAAGCTTTATCTGTAACATTGATATACACATTCTGGAGAGTATTATGCACACATGTTTTGAATGTCTATTCATTGTGTTTAAACAGGGTATTTCTGCACAGTTGCAGATAAAGATTAGGCTGTACAGCTATTATGAGTATTTCACTTTTTTATAATGATATACCAGTGGTGTCTGTATTGGATGGTTTCATACATGTGTGATCCAAAAATGTCTATAACTCCAAAACATTGTGAAGCTGTAAAGCAAATTGTTCAGGCGTGCTGGAATCTTGCAGATATCTTTAGGAGCGCTGGGGGGCTTAGTATGTAGTTACAGTTCGATTTAATAAAAATAACTTATATTCTGATTAAATGCTTTATTTCAATTTAGGATTTTTCTTTTTTATAAAGGGTGACAAAGTCATGCAAAATGACAACAGACATTTAAAGCTTCCTTTGAAAAACCTACAATCGGTAAATAAAAAACTCTAGCTTGTACTGATGCTTGTTTTGTGTGTACCATACTATAATGATGAAGTCAATCACCAGGTTTGTGTTCCTCTCTCTAGAACCAGACCAGCTCTCTGGGCGGCTTCCTGCCTCTCCTGATGGGCGGTGGACTTTTCTCTGCCCTGTCTCAGAGAGCCAACATCCCCCCAACACCGCCTATAAACCAGCCCCACCCTGAGGACTCCAGGGTATCAGTATTATCTGGGCAGCTGTTTGCCCTCAACCCACTCTTTATTATTTGTATTATAGCTCAACACCAACATATCGCTCCATAATATACATTTTGTATGTCCTGTTAACACAAATCCTTTTTTTTAGCATGACCACTCACTTCTTGACGCTATTTGCAGACACTGTATGTCAGATGGTTTCAGAGTCTTGTTTCTGTGTCACTAGCCTCCAGTCGGCTCCATCGGGCCTGCAGGTGAAGCTCCACCGGCTCAGAACGGAGCCATGTCAGACGGATCCTCCACCCTCTCCCCAGACCTGCAGGTCATCACCCAGAATATAAGTAAGGGGACATTGTTTCTTTCAGGTCTAACTAATTAGTGGTGTACCCAGGGGGCAAACCCCAATTTTTTAGGAAATCAGACATGGAATGTTGTAAAAGGTTGTCGACCAGAAATGATATCTAGGACCTTCAAGGATCACAACCTGGGTGGACAACCCGGTCAACTAGCTACTGGAAAGCTACAGTGAGGATCCAAACAATGCAACCCCTATATGAACAAAAGTGAACAATTCTGTCTGGATCAGATGCCATCATTCTCTTTTTGAATGAATATCTCTGTGACAGTTCATGGTAAAGACAAACTCAGCCAACCTACAGTATTGAAAGAGCAGAAAATAAGCTTTCAGGTGATGCCTTGGTTAAGCCTGTTCTCAATAAGGCCACTAGATGGCGCTGTGGCTTTTTTGTCTCTCCAAAGCGAAATCCATTTCAAGCAATGCACTGTTACTGTAAGCTAAAATTCTTTAAAAATTTGAAATCAGTTTTACAGTATTATTCATTTAATCAATATATATATATATTTATTATCATTTGATTAAGTGTTTCATGTATGTGATCTTTTTGTGTGTGCAGTGCTGTATGGATCAATACCATGCCACCTTGACATGCACACTTTAAAACCTCTTGAGCCCGATTGCCCCTGGTACCTCGGGCAGACGCAGCATCTTGTAAGAAACACCATCCCAGGGCTTGTTAATATTTAACAACCTATTAATGTGGCATACCCACTTAACGGGAAGAAACTCAGCTAACAGAGGATAATAACCATTTTACCTAATGGAAAACAATTCCAACACCAAGCGTCCAAATCAGCACGCTACATTAGCGTCACATTAGCATCTGGCGTATCAACACCTTTGGGCATAGTCACTACCTACCACTTATTCAACCAGACACGTAGTAAATCACTCATTATGATGAACAACAGATTGGGGCTTGGGATCAGTTATGAACGTATGCAGCGTCAGCTAACAGCACACAGTTAGAAGGTCATGCAGCAGGTTGAACCTGATGGTGTTTACATCCCAGAGACCATGATGAAAAACACAGAGATCCCCCATGTGTTTGCCATGGACAATCTGGACTGGAAGAAGAAGACACTGGAGGGTGGGAGTTTTAATGCCACCACTGCAATCATAATTGAAAACCAAAAGATTGTGCGGGTCCAGGAGGGTGCCAGACTCCCCACTTCTACCTCGGATAGAAAGAAGACTCTCTCAGATATTACTGACCTACCTGCTCCCATGTGTCACGTCTCAGCTAAAGACAGGCAGAGGTCCAGGTCACTTCAGCATATTGAGAAGCTAGAGAGTCTTCATACTTCCTCAGATGGCACAGCTGAAGACCTGTTACTTATGTGGCATCTGGCAAGAATGGTTACAACTTCAGAATTGCTGGATGCTCCTCCAGATGCAGAAGCAGGACTGCCTGGCTTTTCTGCCTTCTGTGCAGACCTCCACCCACACAGACCGGCCAGTATCATTGGCTATCTTCCTCTCATCCAAGCATCTCTAACTGATCCTGCTGTCCTGAAAGAAGAAATGAAACGGCTGATCAAGACATTGCATGCACTGGGAGACAAGTATACCATTATCATTGGAGATCAGGCTACATATGAACAGTTGCCATCAGAGACAAGCACAGAGATGAGTTCTGCAATGTAGTCCTGCTGCTGGGGGGATTTCACCAAGCTCTTAACTACATGAAGGCTGTTTGCAAGATCATCAGGGATGCAGGTGCAGAGGATATTCTTGTTGCAGCTGGTCTGTTTCAGGAAGGGACTGCCAAGAAGATGTTTGGTGAGAAGGCTGACCACTACCAAACCATGCAAGCTCTCAGGATCCTCAGTGAGGCCATGTGGCGCTTGTACTGGCAAGCATTTGAGGGATGTGCAGCAGACAGAGAAACCCAACACTGGCAGTCACAAGTGGAACATGTTGTGAAGATGTTGTTTGAGAAAGACACCACTGCTACTGAGAAGTTGGTGATCATCCAGATGTCACGTCCACAGATATAAATCCTACAAGAACAGATGTTACTTTTCCAGGAATCTCTGCAGTTTATCATCTACTACCAGCGGGAATCTTACTGGGCAGGAGATCTCTGTGAATCAGCATGGATGCTACCTTACCTCACTGCAGCAGGACACTACAAATATGGGCAGCAGTCTTTGCGTCTGTATTTGTCTGAGATGAAGAAACTGCCAGAGACAGCCCCTGAGGCACATGAAGCACTGATGGCAGGTGCATTTGTTGGAAGGAGAGCAGATGGCAACCACAATGGTGTCTCTCCTGATATGCTTCTGGAGCAGACATATAATGCAGATGCCAAGGAGGCAAGTGGTCTGGATGGCATTACACTCAATCGTGCTGCCAGGATGAAGTGGGTCTACACAAAACCACTCAATGCAGCTATCTCTGCAGAGCTCAAGTCTACGCTGCACCTCCATTCCTCCAGCCCCCACCATGAATCTGGTTGGAGTCGTGTCCACAGGGATGCAGAGATGGTAGTCAAGGTAATGGCAGCAGTAGAGACCAACCCATTCACGACAGCCACACCTGCCACGACAACCATCCCTGATCAATATATCTACTGGTGAGTGTGCAGATCCCACAGTCAAGGACAACCTGAGTGTGAAAGCAGTTGGTTTGAAGGCATTGTCAGAGTCACTGTCCAGTGACCAGAAGAAGACAAGTGTTGTAAAGCTAAACACCTTCCATACACAAAACAGGAGAACTCAGCATTGTTGACTTCCCCCATCCCTCTTCCAGGAAGATGGCAGAATGAGAGTAAACTGAGAGCATTCAAGTTCCTGAACAACAAATTGACGCTCCTAAAGCTACTACCCCCAACAGAGAATGCATTTTTGCTGCACCTGAATAGAACGCACACATCGCCAAGCCATAAATCCCCCCATGCACAGAATTTGGATGGTCTCTGGACAATGGATAGTTCCGGTACCATCTACAAAGCCAGCTTGGCCTGTGTCGATGAACAAGACAATCTCATGTGGCTGTCAGAATAAGGCAGTTCCATGCTACATAGGGTGCCGTTGCCAAGGACTGGCAACCAAATGCAGAAGGATACACACTGCCACACTTGAGAGCAGTGACAGCAGCTGTGACTCAGAAAATGAATAGAAAGCAAAAAGCTTTCTGGGACACTACCATGAATACCACCATGTTGAAAACATTTGTACTGTATATTCAGTGTAGGTTACTTTTCTCCCTTTTCTTCTTACAAAATTAACATTTTTCTAGTTCTGGGCCATGTGAATGATTATTTTGTGTTCAACTTCTGATCATATCTGTTGATTTGTAGTTAATAACTAAGAAGAGAGTATGTGAAATAAATGTTTTGCCACCAGGAATTTTGTTTATTTCATGATCAAAATAGGATATTTTTCACAAAAACAAAGACATTGATTTGAACAAATAATAAAAGGGTATTGATCTGATATTAAGTTGAACTTAATGTCAAATTCCAGATAAGTTTAACTCAGTTTTCCCTGTCCTATAAAACACAGAAAACCTTCAATTAAAGGGTTTTACAAAGAAAGTGGCGGCCATTTTGAATTTCGCTGCCTTTAGCTTTCCAGCCCGTACACTGAAAAATCTGTAAACATTGAATCAATTCAACTTAGCATCGGCAGCGAACCTTGTGTATATTAATGTAAACCCTTCAATATGTTATATAGAAATAATCTTTTAAGTATATTTACCCATTTTGAACACAGCAAGTGCATTGCTTGAAATGGATTTCGCTTTGGAGAGACAAAAAAAGGCACACCGCCATCTAGTGGCCTTATTGAGAACAGGCTTAACCAAGGCATCACCTGAAAGCTTATTTTCTGCTCTTTCAATATGTTGGCTCAGTTTGTCTTTACCATGAACTGTCACAGAGATATTCAATTAGAAAGAGAATGATGGCATCTGATTCAGACAGAATCTTTGACTTGTTTTCATATAGGGGTTGCATTGTTTGGACCCTCACTGTAGCTTTCCAGTAGCTGACCGGGTTGTCCACCCAGGTTGTGATCCTTGAAGGTCCTAGATATCATTTCTGGTGGACAACCTTTTACAACATTCCATGTCTGTAAAATGACTTTGCCCCCTGGGTAGTGTGTGTGTTTTCTGACATGAAATGCAATTCTTAGTCTCAAGAACCTGATGGTTTCTGGTTTGAGTTACAAACGGTCTTGCTTGAATCAAAAAGACCAATAATTAACTGAATTTGAATGAAAATGCTGTACAAACACAGCACAGGCCTGAAAAGAGTTTTGAGGCATACAAAATCTGCGTCTGCCTCAATAGACTGACATTATCCACTTTACTGTACGGTTAAGGTCTGGACAGGAACACACTTTTACAAAGGCACTGAAAAACACTCAAATAAAATGAACAAATATTTTGTTTATAAAAAATGTTATGCATCACAAACAGGTCACATCTTTTTATACAAAAAAATCCAACTCTTCTTAATATATAGACATTTTTATTCATTGGGATAAACCCCTTGAGATGCACCATCTCGTTTTCAAGGGGGTCCCGACAATAGCAACAACTTACAGACATACATAAACAAAAAGACAAAATGCAAAACATGACACACAAGACAAACCACATAAGTGAAATTCAAGCAATGCATACAATCATTACAATTTGAGACTGTCAAGCAAATCAGTTTCATCAATATCAGTTTCATCAATAACAAGTGCAGACCAGTTGAAAGTGAGATGGTAATGCATGTTTAAACATACCCAATGATGCAAGAGATCTAATGGCAGCAGGTAAAGTATTCCAGTCTGTTGGGGCTTTGAACATGAACGCTCTTCTGCCAATCAATTTCTTTGCAGAGGGGACAGAGAAATAAATCTGAACAGAATGTCTAACTTATAGGGTAGTAATGATTATTAAGGTACTCCTTTCATATATGAAATATAATAAAGCAACAATGTGTGATTTTGTTCTTTCTTAAATGATTATTCCTGTGTTTTAGATATGGTTCTGTACCATGTTCATTTCATTTCAAACCTTTATTTATGCAGGTGAATCCCATTGAGATCATTGATCTCTTTTTCAAGGGTGACCTGCTGCAAGTAGGTTCCACATGAATACATATAAACATAACAGAATGTTAGCAAGCTCTACAACTTTTTTCAATTCAGTCATGTGAAGATAATCACTCATCTAAGGGAGCGGATATATTAACCTCAATTAACTTGTTTATTTGTGCTAACATTCTATTTTGTGGATTCTATATCCTGACCTATATACATGGTCAAACAAGGGATGGATTTGAAAATATATTGGGGAACACATTTTTCCTTAGCGTGAATTTCTTAATTCTTACCCGCTAACCAGTGTGTGTTCTTCCATTTGTAGTGAGCAGCGGGGGCCGAGGCCCGATGAGCCACAGCCAGCTGGCGGAGATAATGTCTCACTTGATGAAAGGGCAGGAGCGCGGTGAGGGCCCCGGCCCCGAGCTTCGGCCATTGCTCCAGGGTCTGTGTGGTCAGGTGACCAAGCTGAGGCTGGATGACGCTGCAGCGCTGGCAGAGAAGGAGAAGATGATGAGAAATAGCTCATGGTGAGTTCAGTGGGTTTATCCTGTCAGACCATTACAAGAATATTCTGGTCTAAATAGTCAATGAAGTCACTGTTAATGCTTTAATATATGCATATCATCTGAACGCATACAATACTTGCAGCACAAAATGAGAATGCCTATGGTTTCTAAAGGCACCAAGTGTCGCATCTGGCAGGTGTCTGAGAAAATGTGATTGATGGACGTACGTGCAACAAACTCTTCTGATGAACACCAAGAGTATAGGCCTTATGCTTTTCATAAAATAAATAACTACTTTAATAATAATAATAATATATTTCATTTATATAGCACACTTTAAAAACAATGTCATCTCAAGGTGCTTCACAATGCTATGAGGAGAAAATACGATAAAATACAAAGTTATCTAAGGAGCATGTTGAGTCAAATATGGTAATATAAAAAAGGTTAAAAGGTTAAAACAAATAAAAAAGAAAGGACAGTCAGTAAGATGTGGTGCGGAACAGGTGGGTCTTGAGGCTTTTCTTAAAAACTGAGAGTGATGCAGAGGTCCGTATTTTCTCTGGAAGCTGATTCCACAGACGTGGACCCAGGGACTTTAGACTTTCATGTGACTGCATATCGGTGACTAGAAAGAAGAAACAGTTTTCATTTTTGATCAGTGTGTACATTTTTGAAGCCATCTTGTTCACATTGTTGAGGAAGAGAGGGTGAGTTGTTGTCAGTGCAGAGAGGAGGCTGACACAGAGACAATAGAGTTCATTTATCAGCAGCGTTTGTCTGAGCAGAGCAGCACGTGGGTTCAGAACGTCAGCTGACTGTGACCCCACATCGAGAAGAGGACAGCAGCTCGGAGGTACGTTTCAATAAACATCAGTGTAGTTACCGCAGGCAAAAATAATTTGGTAGTTTAATAGTTTAAACTAGAAACGATTATTGTTCTAATATGATAACAGTTAGCTCTTATGAAATGTTAAATGACTGTTTCTGATATTGTTTTTCCTTTTACCTCCTATATTTTAGCTTCTTGTCAGGCTTGTGATTACCAAAATGCTTTTTGTGAATTGTTTCCTTCAGTTGTTGTAACGATAATAACAACAAAAGAAACATGTTTAAATTGTATTGTAGAAAATGTGATTGATGTTGCTTAGAAGAACCCAAAACCATTGATGTAGGTACTGTGACGCCTCCCAATGGTTTTTAGACTACAGTTGTGTTACTCTGCTTTAAAGGGGCCCTATCATACTTATTTTCATGTTCCTACATGACTTGACTCGAGTCAGATTCGAGTCGCATATTTTTGGACTTGAGACTTGCTTGACTAACCTTGATAAAAGACTTGACTTGACTTTGACTTGGTATTCATGACTTGAGACTTGACTTGAGACAGATGACTCGAAAGGACTTTACTTTTTAAAATTAAATATTTGCATTTGTTTTCGTATTGTACGGAGCCCCTAAAGGGCAATGAAAAAAAAAAAAAGATACTGTATCTCGTTGAAAGTTACCGGAGCACCAAGTAGGCTGTGGAGCACACAGGAGACAGCCGTTTCATTTCATTTCATTCGTCCGACAACGGCATTTGTTTTCAAATTACCATGAACAGTCATTTACACACATCTGGCCAACTCCATATGTGGGTGTTCCCAAATGAAAGACATTCTTTTAATCTTAATGTCGCACTGTCTGCACACACACACACACACACACACACACACACACTCACACACACACACACACACACACACACACACACACACACACACACACACACACACATATCATGCACCCTGGTACATACACTATTCCATTGTATTGGCTTTGATGCAATATTTCTTTGTGCACAGACACAGTTAGGAAAACAATGAGACAGTGTCATATGGGAGCACCTTAGACAGGAGAAATGCTGGGACCCTGCTGAAGGGGAGCCTGTTATCACTTTAGAGCCCTTTTAGAACTTATAGGGTTATCATTTCAGTGCCCCACTCTCCATTGCTGTTTATGTTGAAAATAAAACTAAACTTTTCATAACCACAATATTTTAACTGATTTAAATGCGGAAACTGGGGTTATTCATCAGCATTTCGTAGGACTTGACTTGTGACTTGCTTGACCTGAGCAATGACTTGACTTGACTTGCTTGACTCTCACCACAGTGACTTGGGACTTGCTTGAGACTTGTAGGTTAAGACTTGAGACTTGCTCATGACTTGCACATGTAGGACTTACTCCCACCTCTGCCAAAAAGCATAAAAGGGCCTCTTTAACCTAGTGTTCCCTCTCTGTCCCTCCACTCTGAAGGGAGTTGGACTCAGCCATGGAGCGCCGTCTGGAGGACATGGAGAGGAGGCTGACGGAGCATGTGGACCGGCGCCTGGACGCTCTGGAGCAGAAGCTGGAGAAGGTCCTGCTGCTGGCCCTCGGCCAGGGAGCAGGCAGCTCAGCAGGCAGCTCAGAGGGGGGGTCCACAGGACCATCGGAGCAGACCGCCCCGACACCGGCCTCGCAATGACCCCCAGACTTCTAAAAGACTAATAAGACTTCTAACCTGGAAGCGGACACTAACAGACACAACAGTTTTAAAAAAGGGCTGAAATGAGAAATCAAATAACACAATAATCTGCTCAAATTTAAGATGGTGTGTCCAGCTGTCAAACACGCAGCCTCAGTAACGGTTTGTTTATCTTTCATCTCTGGGAAACTAAAAACAGAATGTGACACTCGTGGAAAGCCAAGGTGAATGACCTGGATGTCGGACCGTCGAAAGAGAAACAAAAATCTGTAACTGCAGAAATCATGTCCTACTGCTGCAATGCACTATGGGAAAGATTGCAGTACATCACCAAAAGAAGGCCATCAAAACAGCAGAACATTTATTTATTCAAAGATATGCATGTAAACACTCCGATTTGTCCTCCCAGGTTTCGTGATCTACACGATCATCGACTATAAAACCGTTATCCTCTTCACAACAGTACTGTAACAGCCATGATCCACTGGGTCAGGCCTTAAATGTCAGGTTTAGTACTGTTTGGTTTGACACTTGCTAAAAATCTCAGAAAGAATATATACTCCTGTGAAAGGAGTGTGTGGAACTGATATAACATGTTTTAATATGACACTGCAATGTCTGAGATAATGTCTGTAACATGTTGATGCCAATGTAAACTAAAAGTACTGTTTGAGCTGTGATGTTAAAGGTTTTAATTACTGTGCTGACATAAGTAGCAATACAAATATATTTATACAGATTCATTAATTATTTACTGGGTTCATTTATATCTCTTCGCTGGCCTGGGAGCGCCTTGGGATGGAATCCCCCAGTCAGAGCTGGTTGATGTCGCCAGGGAAAAGAAAGTTTGGGGCTCTCTGCTAGAACTGTTACCCCCGCGACCCGACCACGGATAAGCGGGAGACGATGGATGGATGGATTGATATCACTGTCAATCAGTGGCGGTTCTAGACCAATTTGACTGGGGGGGGCTATGCTGGGGAGGGTTATTTTACAAGGGGCACTTTTAATGCAGGACAAAGACAGTGTTCAAGAATTCAACACTTAGTGTAGTATGAGGTTATAGCGCACAAAAAACAAAGCACCTCTTAGTAACATAATTTCTGTCTTTGACTTAGTTACAATTTTTGTTTAGTTACTTATTTTGAGTGACTTTGGTCCACGTTACAGCACAGTGTTTGCTGTAACACTATCACAAATACATCTTAGGTTCTTCTTTTGGAGGGTGGTCACAGAGGGTTTTAAAGGGGAATAGAGAGATAAAATACAATTAAGTAAGATCATTTTTTGGAAGATGTCAATTAGAAAGCTCTAGGTGATAAGATCAGGAACTGAATGAATGCCGAATATATGCTACAAAAGAAAAACACAAAAAACGGAAATCTAGGGCACACAAAAGCAGAACATTTTAGCATACAGTTTGGTTTCCTTATGCCCAAATATATGACTCAAAAAGTACCTTTTTTTGCCAACACAAGAGTTGACAATGCTAAAAAATTGATATTTTGTGTTGACAGTGGTAATAAGAGGGAAAGGTAGCTCAACAGTTTCCAGAAGGTTAAAGCCAATGTTTCCCGACAGGCCTTCCAGTAACGCTGACTCATATATTGGTCCGAATTTAACCATAAAGGTCAATGGAAGTCTTCTGTGGTAAACTGCAAAAATTACTTTCATACAGAACACATCTGAAATATTGTTCTGAAATCTAAAAAGAAATTAGTCGACAGAAAGGAAAAGGGTTGGAGGACATTAAATGATAAAAGGATGTTTTGTCAGACATGTGGAGGACAGACACTGAGTCAGCAGAGTTGAGCTCTGGGAGAAAGTCTGCTCGGTCCATCAGCATGACACATATCAACTAGGCTGTATTTCATTTTGACAACTGGGTCAAAATGAAAGAAAAACTCCCCAATCATCGTCTCCTTCTGCTGGATATCATTCATCTGCAATACAGGAGGGATTCAGTGATGAAAGAGGTCACTGATATTTATGGTCACACACTTTCAACCCACCTCAGTAAGTCTTTCTAATACATTCCATTAAAAGAAAGGTAATAGTTAAACAAACTTTATACTTCACTTGTTGAACAATTGTAATTCATCATGAGTCAAAAGAGTCATGTTTAAATTACATATCCTATTATAACTAATAAGATTTGTTGTCATCATTTGTGCACATATTCTCTGAATTATATTCTATTTTATTATGTCAATGATTACCAAATGTAAAACAACTTTTACAACTATAACAAAGTGTTTGAAAACAGGCGCTTCATCTATCTAATGTTTCAAATGTAATGGTCCGGAGTGTGGTCCAGGTAGGTGAAGTAGGTGTGCAGAAATCGAGAGAGTTTGCCAGGAGGGGAAAGAGGCAGGAGTCAGGCAGGATGAGTGCAGGAACAGGAATGAGACATTTGGATGAACAACTGGAGAACCAAACAACAGGCAAGACCGTGCCCAGCTAGCTGTGTGGCAGAATCTACGATCTGACGGCTTGGTACAGTTGGAGCCCAGTATTTAAAGCCCAGCAGATTGAGATTGACAGCAGCCTGGCACCTGCACACCAGATCCCACTCCTGTAATCCAGCAGACACACAAACACACAGAGGGAGGGGAGGGGGGGGGGGGGACAGAGATGGAAGAAGAAGAAGAAGGCCTGACAATTTAGCTTATAAACTCTGCTAGAAAACCTAAGGCATTAGCTGACTGCCATGATCGTGCACAGAGAACATGTTACTGACCTCACCATAACACCCTCGCTCCACTGGGCCTACATACACACACTGGGGCCAACATTATGCTTTGTTGAACTCAGTATTTCAGTATGTATCAAGGCGTACAGGGAGGAGATGTTTGACAGATGATGCAGTTCTTTCCCAACTTGTTTTCTCTGTCTCCTTGTGAACAGAGCTGGGGTCGTGTCAGAGTTCATTAATGCTTTACTCCTTTCAGTGGCGGTCGCGGACAGTAACGAGGTATTAACTCAAGTTCTCTACTTATTGTAACTTATGTACATGTTTACAAAAAGCTCTTTATTTTTCTCATACTGCCTGTGCTGCAGCACCTCTTTTCACCCTCTGTCTGAAACCAGAGCCCAGAATGCTCTGATTGGTTAGCTGGCCAGCACAGTGATTTGTGATTGGTCAACCGCTTAGCCTATCACGTACAATGTGTTGGAGAACTAGCTAATAGAAGCCTGGATGATACAGGGATGCAGGGTCGGCTCTCGAACAAATCGAATGGGGGGGGCAATCATTTACCAAGGGGGGGCACACACTGCCGTCAACAACCAACACACAAACACCAACGCAACTTCAATTTCAAAAAACATGCTGTAAAGTCTATTGTCTTTCACACACATTGCAGGGGTGTAGTGCTATTGTATAGCGCACCTATGACTTGTGCAGACATGCACGGTTGTGGCTGGCACGACCACCAAAACAGAAACATATAAGGACAGAGGGTGTCGTTTTCTCATACTGATATTCTGCACAAACTGTGCTGTTGTATTTGCTGTAAAGTGTCTTTACTGTAGGTTATTTTTTTATTATATGTACAGCACTTTGGCTCGACCAAAAATCGTTGAAAAATGTGCTATATAAATAAAACTTGATTTGATTTGATATGGACATAGGCCACCATATAAAAAGTGTGCAAATGTATTTAGTATCCTATCCATGTGAACATGTTTTAGGTGGGGGTGGACCTAACCTCCTCTAGGAGGGTCTGGGGGCATGCTGCCCCGGGAAGATTATTTTTAAAATATTGTAGTTAAATGCATCAATCTGGTGCACTTTGAGAGCAAAATGAAGAGATCTATGGATAGCCTACACTCAGCATCCATATGAAACAGAACTGTACACAGATTTACTTTTTCTTTATGGATATTTTACTAATCATTCCCCTTTTAAACCGTATTCTTGTGTTACTGTCCTATAGTATTTCATACCCGTTTTTCATTTATTCTCTCTTTAATAACTATAATGATCATATAAAGGTATTCCTCGAAAATACTTACATAAATGGTGACCAAACCGTTCGAGACCCACTGAGATAACTTACACTAAAGTGAACTATCTAAACACTGAGAGAGTCCTTACCTCACTGAGCTGACGTTATAAGATCCTCTCAGTCTGACAGGAGAGGACTCTCCTCCACCTTGGTGTAGAAACAGCCCTTTATATCCGTTAGCATAGCTAGCTAACCAGATGCTAACAACATTCCACGTTACCGCTCGCGAACTCACAAAATGCGCTCGTGCCACACACACACAGAGCCGAGCTTGAATGAAACACAGAGACCCATGTACTTGTACTGTACTGTATATCATATTATTTTCGATGGCTTTACTCTGTATAATCAGTATAACAGATGAACAGATCGCCACTGGGCTTTCATCTAAACACACAGCCACGTAATGATAACAAAAAAAAGGTCGGGGGTCATTGGTCAAGCAACACACCAATCAGAGAGCAGCAGTGAGCACACCTCAGGCTGTGTTTTATATTTGTATTCTTTATTTCTGATGTATTTCACACAAAAAAACCTTTAGTGGAAACGTTTTCACTTATATGATTAAAAAAAGAAAAAAATGGCAAAGTGGCAAGGCTTGCCAACCCTGCGTTGGGGGGGCACAGTGACTCATTTGGGGGGGCATGGCCCGCGAATGACCCCCCATGACGCCGACCCTGCAGGGATGTCACTATGTTATGGAAGAACAAAGGAGACCAATGTAGGCGTTTCAGGCGTGTTTCAGGGTGTGGGAGAGAAACTCCCTCTGGAGGGAACACAGGGATTTTAGCCTCTGCAGACCATTTACATGCACTGAAAGCTATTTATCACACTACAGGAGAAGGAAAACCCCAAATGCATAATAGGGCTATTTAAACATGTATTCATGTCATGTTTCGGGCCACTTGATGAATTTAAGACGCATATTCTCTCTCCTTTTGCTTTTAACAAAATCTGAGTAAAAATATCAGTTTTACAAAATTCGACACTAACTTCCAATGGTTGCTAACTTTACAATTTATCAAGTTTTCGTGGACATCGTTAATTCCATAAAGAACCTTTTCGAGATCAAGTCGACTGACAACACTTTTAAAACTAACATTTATTTCGTTTTTTGGAAAAATTGTCATCAAACACAAACAGACAAAAAATATTATTAAAAAAATATTCCATCAAGGACATACACAACGGATCAGAACTACGGTAACCTGCAGTATCCCTTTTGCAGCTATGTGGGTTAGTTGGACATAAAAGGTCTGTGAAAGTAAATGGGGATCAGAAAATAAACTAATATAAGAAGTATTTCGTAAGGGTCGAAGCATCAGTTCCAGGGTCATAAAGTCGGAACTTGGAAGGTATGTGCGAGTTTAACAGAAGAAGAAGAGTAGCAATTGGGCTAATAATAAAACGTTTTTAAATGCAGTAGGTGTGGCCCCAGATGCACACTCCTATTGGTTGCTTGGTTTTCCAAAGTGTTCATGATTGGTTGAAAAACACGGAGCCAGCTCGGGATTGGTTGGGTTGATTGCACTCATACAGCTGAGGGGTCAGGGCTCGATATCCTCGGGGACAATGCTGAGGATCACGTCCTCGTTGCCTCGCCTCACCACCATTTTCAGCGTTTCGTCCCGCTTTATGACAGCGCTGACATCACTGGCCGAGGCGATTGGCTCGCCGTTGATGCTGATGATGACGTCTTTCTCCTGCAGGCCAGCACTGTCACAAAGAAGGAGAGCAAAGGTTAAATAATGTCAAAAACACATACATATTAGGTATTTGTAGTGTGTGGTTGATTTCCACAGCATTGCATTAAGCCTAGTGCATCATGAGGGACATTTACATTCTTCATTTTTTATCATTTTGGTTAATAGATGAGTTTTTGTTTTAGTTCAACCTCAACTTCTTTAAAAAGAAAAAAACACATTATATACCTTGGTCATAACAACATTAAAGCATGCATTGTATTATATCAGGCTTGCAATCTAAAGCAACCTTTAACTATTTTCCAATAAATAAATACATGTTTTTTTCACAAAATAACACCCAAATCTATTAATTAAATAATTCATGTTGTTGTTCATAATTGACATAAATGAAGAGAAAAACACAACAATATGGCATTTAGTGTACAGAAAAGTAATTACGTATTGTGATCTTTCATACAATTTAACATTAACACATTATATTAATTACATAATAGTAGGGATTTTTTCTAAAATGTTTACTTAATATTAATATATGTACATTTTCTCCGTGTTTTTTTAATGCAGCTATTTTTGTCCTCTACTGTCTGTAGGCTACATCAAAGCGACTTTTTTTAAATGGATAAAGGGCCAATAAATGTAATAGTGACCACAACATATCTGCATTAGGACTTGATATGGTTATTGATTAATCAGAATCAAAATAATTTCTTCCTTCGATTAACCTGAACAGATGTTGCATTTTGGTTTGGCCATTTTTGCAATCGTCTTATGAACTATTTCCAATGCTTAAATGAATCAAACCTGCCACGTGTGGACCACAACTGAGGATCAAGGGACACATGTGGTTTTGTGTGTTTGATATAGATCTTTTCCAGACACAGATGAATCATTTCCTTTCATTAATAAAAGTACCAGATTTAGAGTATAGTGCAGCCATGGCAGAGGCATTTGCTCTCTGAGTGATTCATATTTCTATCAAACTCAAAGAGTATCTTTAGTCAGGAACAATAGCTTTACATGTATTCACTCCTCAGCTGCATCTAATCAGCTGATTACAGGTATATATCTGTTTCGTTCTTTCTGTCCCTCATGTGAAGGATAAAGCCCCGGCCACACGAGGACGATAACGGTCGTATCTGCTACAGTTCACTATCAGATAGACGGTTCGGCCACATGAAGCCGACATGTAAACGCAGAAAACGATAATGATAACGGGTCCCAAGGCGGGTAGATCTGCAAACTAAAAGCTCTGGGGGGGGCAAACGGCTCTGTGTTTACGCCGATATGATCATTTCCTGATAACATTGAAGCAATAGCCCCGCCTTTCCCCACCCCTCCTGCTCAGAGATCAGCTGCTGGGCTGTCAGAAGAGGGGAAGGAAAAGAGGCTCAGTTTTTTATTATTATTATAATATCGTTATTCATTTGTTTTAAAGGTCCCATGTCATGCTTTTCTGGTTATTACCCGTCCCCTTGTGTGTTATGAAGGTTTTTATGCATGGAAACGGTCTGCAGAGTCAAAAACCCTCAAAGTAGACCCTGTAGGGATTAGGGAGTAGAAAAGACCTCCCCAAAACGCCTTGTTGGAGATTTCTCATTTTCCAATGTTTTCTTCCTGGGTATCGTGACGTAGGGATACCCAGTAACCACGCCCAGAGCTATGGCCGCACCCTCTGCCAGCCGAACATACATACTGTTGGAAGCTCAGGTTCAGTTCAAAACTGTATCCACTCCAGTCATGCCAACGAGGGTCTGTTTCCTGTCTTGTGAGGGGAAATCTTCAATGTATGCCTTACCGAGGGCAGAACCACGACGAAGTCAGTGGTTGACATTTCTTGTCAACACCGTTCCTTCAGATGTCCGAGCCGGTATTGTACTGTGTGCGCGGCATTTCACGGACCAAAGCTTCGTAAATATTGCAGCGATTCATGCCGGATATGCACAGCGTAGGACACTGAAGGACGATGCTGTTCCTACTTTGTTTGGACCAGGCCCGGCTCCAGGATTAAATGACTGAGGGGGCTGTTAAAAAATCCGAGGGGGCGATTTTTTTTCACAACAACGAAAAATACTGGCAATGTAATGATTTGACACACCAAGCTTTTTTCCTTCTCACTGCTCTACAATCTCTTTGCTTCTTTATTTTTATTTCCGGATTTACCCCTCTCGTTCTGTTGTTTTCCTCTGATCTTTAATAACAGATAGTACATTATCAGATGGCTGCATTTTGGTTAACAGACTAACATTGATTTCCTCAATTTATAAATGGACAGGCTCTGTAATTATACCATAACCTTTCCTCCTCTATCCCTTAACTCGTCTTCCTATACAGATGTACTTACCTCTAGTCAGGTTAGGATTAAAGAAACATTAATCTGGTTGATTTTTTATTTTCAGGATTGAATGTTCAAATCAAGGCCTAAAACCTGACATTTCATAAGAAAGTGACTAATATATAATCCGAATGTAATATTAGATCAAATACTACACCAAATGGACAGACACAGATTAAAAATAAAAATAAAGTCCACTGGTTTGTCTCTCGAGTCTAACTGCCATGAGAAAAATCGAATCAATGTTCCAAAATCCGTCACTAGATGTACAACGTGTATTACATCATGTATTTTTTAGCTGCCCGGATTATAACAGACAAAGACTCATTCTGAAAACTGCACTGGAACAACATAACATCAAGGACATGGATTTCAAGTCAATATACGAAAGTAAATCAAGAAATTAAGTAAACAAGCTGATCTTCAAGTTCCTCAAAAACACTGGTCTGAGGACAAGGTTTTAATATAAACGTTTAATAAATCAACAGTAGGTGGCGATATATGCTCCAAGTGGAAGCGATTCGCCATTAAAGAAAATAGAAGATGAAGAAGAAGAAGAAGAAGAAGAAGAAGAAGAAGAAGAAGAAGAAGTAGTAGTAGTAGTAGAAGAAGAAGGGTACACAACCTGTAAGTATGCATTGTTGTTAATGTTTGTGTATTTTTGATGTTTAAAACAAACAAGGTATCTACCACGACTGATTAAATGGGTAAACGTTTTTCGGGCTGCTAAGCCATTGACACAGTGCTAACTGGGCTAACTAAGTTGCTAGCGTTTCCATATATCAACTCCAATGTCAGCAGATGGCCTTACATGTATCTCATAGCAGGAGAATGTCTGCATTCACACACAAAATACTCATAGACAGTATACTCCGGGTGATTTACCGTACGGTCAGTCGCGACCAGGGTAGGATTTTCACCGGCGGCCATGACGGCCATTGCCCCTCGGTCTGGCCGTGAAGCGCAGAACATAATTGTACGTCCTACGGCCACCATGGCCTGTGTGCAAGGCCGGATTAACCATATGGGTAACCTGGGCAAGTGCCCAGGGGCCCTTGAGCAAAGAGGGCCCTCAGTGACAAGATACAAAAAAAAAGTATTAATTTTTTTCTGTAGCCCTGGACTATTCTACCTCCATAATATAATACATTAACCGTGCTTTACGTGAACCTAATCAAGACACTAGAGAGGACGACAGGACTGTAATTTCCCGTGTTCAGTGAATGCAACAGAGGCAAGACACCAGACCAATCATCCCCCCGGACCCCCCTAGAGGAGGTGAGGTCCGGAATAATTTCGGTACGGTTACGTATACTGTTACACCCCTAGTAGTTTATTACAGGTAAAAATAACTTACTCTTCTTCTGTTCTACGCCTCAAAGGTCTATAATCGAATCTGTACATGTTATGGAGGTTCTGCAGGGTGTGGGGTATGTATGGTGTATATCTTGGCATATAATGTGTGCTACTGTTGGTGTTTTCAGCTAGCTGGCTACATAATGTTGTAACTGTCAGCTAGGCTACCTTTCTAATTTCTTTGCAACAGACGTTTTCCACTTCGGTAGGCATCATGGCGCCGTTTCCACAAGTGCACCTAAATAACAACAGTTGTAGGTACAGTTCTGTTAGTTAGCGTATAACATATACGGCTGTACCGACGCCATCGTAAAACTGATGTTCCGCTCAGAGCCGCAAAAAGCACTGTGTTAGACATGGGCGGAGCCTCTCTGGTGGCTGACTAATCAGAACAGAGTGGCCGAGCTGACCAATCAGAGCACATTGGGCTCACAGGGAGAGGGGGGCAGGAGCTCCAACAAGCCGTTTAGAAAAGAGAGTTGTTACAGCCGTTGGCTTCCTGGTGCTATAGTGGTGAAGTCCCTCCCCTTCCAGTGGACCTCCTTATTTCGGAAAAAGTATGTATTGAAGCCAATGGAGAGAGAAAGATTGTGCCACGAATTACACATATGATGTTTGTCAATTTAAAAGATAATTTTGCAAGTAAAAAAAAAAAAAAAAGTGTCTTAAAACTGTGAAGTAACACATTTGTTTGTGTGAAACGCTCAATGAACTACATCTCTGGTCTCGCATAACACACGTCACCAAGATGGCCGTCACTACTGTCTTGTCAACAAAACGATTGACTACCCTCACTATCACCACAATGAAACACGTCCAGAAGAATGTCATGCAAAGCTGCCTGCCTTCCTTTCTTTGATCCTCTCTGAACTGCCTGGTCTTTTTAATGTTGAATGTCAACCATTTGTACAGATAGCGTGAAGTAGAAAAGATCGGTGATCGCCGATGCTAGCGTTAGCGTTAGCATTTCTCCCCCGGGCTTAAATTTGGTTATTATAGAATGATCACACCGGTGACAGTACTCTTCAAAGGGTTCACGAAATATGACTACTACTCTTACTGTTTAACATTTTGGGTTACTTAATATTAATTCATAATTAAGGCTAATAAATGACAAGGCTGTAATGCTAACTAACGTGCTAGCTACTAGCTAGGTAGCTAACTTGATCCAGCCACTCCTGGTCCTTTCATCAGACGGGAAGCGAAAGAACGAGCAAGACCCATTGCTGGTATGATAACAACCTGGTACTAAGCACACAGGCATCTTGTTAAAGTTATCTTATCTTAGCCAGCGACATATAGATAGATTCTATCTATATGGCGCTGATCTTAGCTATCTCTTAGCTGAGGCCTGGGCTCTGTTAGTTCAGCGTAAACTTCACGGGAGAGTGCAGGAAGCGGTTGCTGCTCTTACGTTGGAGGACAGTCTAAATTACGACTTGGTGAAGGGTGCCATACTTAGGGTGTACGAGTTAGTCCCTGAAGCTTATCGGCAGAAATTTAGAAACCACAGGAAGGGTCCTAATCAGACACATGTCGAGTTTGCCAGGGAAAAGGGAATGTTGTTCACCAAGTGGATTGATTCATGTAAAGCTGCGGAGTATTCTGCTTTGAAAGAATTAATCCTTATGGAGGAATTTAAGAGGGGTTTGCCTGATCGCATCGTGGGATACATAAACGAACAAAAAGTAAATTCTCTCTGCTGCTGCTGTACTGGCTGACGAATACGTGTTAACCCATAAGTCGGTGTTTTCCCCGGCTGTTGCTGAGAAATCTCGCCGTATGCCAGGTGCACCTGTTGGTCAGCCAGTGAAAGTGTATACAATGAACAAAGAGGAGAGAGAGTGTTACTATTGTCACCAGCCTGGACACATCATTGCTAATTGTGCAGTTCTAAAACGTAAGGAGCAGCCACAAAACATGACCCGGCCGAAAGGCATCGGCTTAATTAATACAGAGTCACCCAGTATCTCCGCATCTGACAATGATGAGGAGATAGATCCCTGTTTTAAGCACTTTGTGTTCGATGGATTGATATCGTTAACAGGTGAGTCGGACGATCAGAGAACCGTACGCATTCTACGAGACACTGGAGGCTCACAGTCAGTGATTGTTGCATCTGCCCTGCCATTTTCCGAACAATCAGCATGTGGGTATGGCTCGATATTATGTGGCATTGAGATGTGCCCCGGCCCGTACACAATGTACATGTACAATCAAAGTTAATCACTGGATTTTTCCCTGTCGCTGTGGGAATTATCGCATTACCTATACAGGGTATAGTTTTCCTAATGGGAAATGACATTGCAGGAGGTAAAGTAACTCCTGCACTTGAAATATTGGATTCTTCTCAGTCTGTATTGCCTGAGGTAACAAATGCTCACATTTTCCCTATTTGTGCGGTCACCCGCGCGCAGGTGCGTAAGAGTGACTCTGATGTGTCGCTAACTGATACTATGTTTGGGACATTGCTTTCAGATGAAAAGATGCCGGAGGAAAAGCCAGAAATTGTGGTTTCCCCTGCCCCTGACGTGGCCGCTGAGCCAGCGCAACCTGCCGGCCTAGCTGTTGACGGTTCGACACTCCCGGTAACTATGGCATTATATTTGTGCCTCTATCCTGAGCACGCAATGAAACATGTTGAACATAGAAAATACTATTGAGCGCGCACTTGAACATTTTTGAGCACAGAGAAATATATTTTCTCTCATAAAACTCCTGCTCCGTGCGCAAGCAGACCGCTGCACGCGCTCTCTATCCCCCGCTCGCTCGACCTCTCCAGCCTGTGCGCGCTCAGCTTTGCCTGCGCTCGCTCAAGTTGTCACAGCGTTACAAATGTGCCACAAAACCAACCAATCGGAGAACTCGAGAAGGTCAATTCTGATTGGCTGGTCGTCTCCAATCATATCTTCTATCTGAGATGAGAGAGGGATTTTCGGTTGCCATCAGGCTGTTGACGTTCTTATTACACATCTATCGTTGACATTTACAGGACATGACTGACTCAAATGAAGAGAATAGTACGCCACAGTGTCAGGTGAGTTATACATTTCTAGTTTTCTGATATCACGTTATTGTTTGCAATGCCTGAGTTTGCTAGCCGACAACATAGCTATAAGGGTAGTTTAAGCAAACCGCTAACAAACCGTAGCCTACATATACATGAACCCTTCGGAGATATTGATTACTTGCTGTAAGCATTAGAGGTGGCAGAATGACAAAACATGTTTCTCTCTCTATCACAATTTTGGGTTGACCAGAACCTGGACCAACTTCTGTTTCCTGTTCTACAATGGGCATAGACCTTGCGTTAATTTTCAACCGGACAGATGAGGCTAGGATACCGGATAAAGTTAGCAACACACGTTAACCATGAACAGCCTATTAATCCGTTCTCTTAATGTTATTTCTTCCAACGTTGTGGAATTAGAGAAAAGGGGCTTCTTAACGTGCTTTTATCCGGGGTGGAGGGAGTTACATATTAGTTAAATATAACATTAGGGCGTGTGATTGTAGTGGGTGGAGGTGGTGAAATGAGGATATCCATTTTGGAGTTCAAGCTAGTATAATATAGTTAACGAACGTTACACAATAATAAGGAAGAGAGCTATTTTTGTGATACATCGCTATTGATATGGATTTAGAGTGCATATTTGAGACTTCCAAACAGTAAACAAAAACGTAACTTCTGGGTGAGTGTTTTTAGCAGAGCCATATAATGTCCTTGTGATTCTGTTGATTATTACCTGTCTGTATTATGTTGCAGCTCAGCTGGTTTTGGATTGATGGCAAAGAGGGACTTAAGTGAGAGTGAAAACACAAGGTAAGTTTAAAATAGGTCAGCAATTTCCCATCCTATAGGTTGCTAGATGTATCTAACCCTTTCTCCTGTCTCCCTCTTTCAGCACAAGAACCCCAGGGGGATTCAATGGAGCCTGAAGACCTGCAATGAGACCCTCACCCTGCACCCGAGTCTCAACTCCCAGAGTTTAGCAAGCCTCTCCCTGTTCTTTATTTTGATTAAACAGACATTAAGTCTTCATTTTGTGAAAAATATGATTACCTCACATATGTTGTTGTTGCTGTTGTTGTCTTTTGTGATGGTTAAATTGCTCCTGCTGACTTGAGCCAGCCATTCTTTCCTCCTCTCTGTGTCAGTGGGGAAACTTTACTGTACATGTGTACTCCTTTCTCTGAGCGCTTGGAGCATCCCCAGGCAGCACAGTAAACCATGGGGGAGACTATATGCCAGGACAACACAGAGGAAAAGGCACAGACAAACGGCATGACATGCTATTCAATGTGTATTGAATTCCATTTATTTACAATGGATGTTCCTAAAACAACACATTTAACATCATCATCATGCTGCTGCTGCTAGTGCTTTGACTCATTGTGCTGTCAGTTGACAATCATTGATAGGCACCTGTGGGTCTCCTGTCCTTTCTGAAAGTCATAAAGATTACATTAGTACTTTAGATTACTTGTGTCCTCAATGACCAGGGGATTACTGAAACCACCATGAATTAAAGAAATGGTAGAAATGTAATCAGAATTTTGAAACCTTCCTTCCCTCCCTCTAAATATATCAATAAACATTAGGATGTGATGCTCCTGACTACCATACAGGTTTAAGAAGATACTATTTGTTTTAAAGAATTCAAAGCAATAAACAACAGCAACAGGCTCTAACCAAGGCAACGTTAGCCTAACATGTATATGTTAACAGGTAAGATAGCTGTTCACACTATGTATATTTTCTACTTTCTACGTTGTAATGCTATGTTATTTCTATTTAAGATGTTTACATTTTCGATTGTTTAATTCTAGTCTTTTAACTGTCTAATGTACAATGCCTCCTTGTCTTTTGCTGCTGCAGCGTAAACATTTCCCTAATAAAGTACTTCTTATTTTATCTTAATCCTCAAATATTAGTAAATTTTACTTAAAAAAAATGCATGTAATGTAAATGTATGTAACTACATACACATATCGATATGTTGTATACATATTGCAAATCAAAACCTTTATTGACCACTAATTACCAAAAATGTCATTTCTATCCTGTTATCAATGCATTCAAATCGTGATTCAAATGGCCCGCCACGAACTTCCTGGAACTTTCTGAGTCTCTCTGAACCACGTGATGATCAAGCATTTTGGACTTCCGCTGTCGCAACTCTTCTCTCTACATGGCGCTGGACCAGCCAATCAGAATTGACCTTCTCGAGTTCTCCGATTGGTTGGTTTTGTGGCACATTTGTAACGCTGTGACAACTTGAGCGAGCGCAGGCAAAGCTGAGCGCGCACAGGCTGGAGAGGTCGAGCGAGCGGGGAAGAGAGAGCGCGTGCAGCGGTCTGCTTGCGCGCGGAGCAGGAGTTTTATGAGAGAAAATATATTTCTCTGTGCTCAAAAATGTTCAAGTGCGCGCTCAATAGCATTTTCTATGCTCAACATGTTTCATTTATGGGCTCAGAACAGTCTCATAATACACACATGCACACAGAAGGATTCACACTTGTATTTCATGATCCGCAAAAGGATTCACACTTGTATTTCCGGATCCACACTTGTGTTTTTCAATGCACACACAAATGTGTTCCGTTTCATATACATGTAAATAAAATCCAAATACAGAAAAAAGTCTTACATATGTATTTTTGATCCACACATATTTGTTTTCCGTTTAAATCCCCTGCACCTGCAAACACAAACCGCTTTCTGTGCATGGATCGCTGTGCATTCGTGTGTGGGTTTTTTGAGACTCCCCTGACGGTCAGCCGATTCGTACTAATTTTTTCTATCTATAGCCAATCAGATGTCTCCTCAATTCTAAGCCAATCACATGAGTGCGCCCCCACGAGGATAGATTTCTTGCATTCATGACGTAGCGCTTCATGTACACATTTTGCGCAGTCCGGAGCTGACAGGTCCATGGAGCCTACCTGCAGGCGCTAATCTCAGGACACCTCCACTCTCAGTACAGCGCCACTTTCCGAATAGGAAATGCACGCAAATACAAGCCTTTATATTATTAAGGTACAGCGCCACTTTCCAAACTTGATGAATGCTTGTGTACACAAAAACGGCAGGCAAAACCGTTTTAAATGTGTGTTTCCTGTATGGCGAATACAGCTGCTTTATTTATGTCTGTATGAAGTTGTTGTGAGTGTGGAGGGAGCAGCTACAGGTTAGCTTAGCCTAATCGATCAGTGCACTACGAAGCCAGTGCTAGACAGTGAACTGTCAACGGGGGGAGCCCCGCGGGTCATTATCGGCTCTTAATAGTTTGATCGGTGCTCTCTATAAAGGCCGATCAGGAGAGCTGGATCTGATCGATATGGACATAAACGCGAGTGAAGTGTAACCGGACGCGAGAGAGAGATCAGATCAGCTGCTGAGTCTGATGGAGACACGCAGCTCTGCATAATCACCTGATGCTCCGCCCTCTGTTTAGCGAGCTGACCGGACAGCGCAAAATGCGTATATGAAGCGCTACGTCATGAACGCAAGAAATCATACCCTCGTGGGGGCGCGCTCATGTGATTGGCTTAGAATGAAGGAGACATCTGATTGGCTATAGATAGAAAAAATTACAAGTACGAATCGGGTGACCGTCAGGGGAGTCTAAAAAAACCCACACACGAATGCACAGCGATCCGTGCACAGAAAGCTGTTTGTGTTTGCAGGTTCAGAGGTTTTAAATGGAAAACTAATATGTGAGGATCAAAAATACATATGTAAAACTTTTTTCTGTAATTGGATTTTATTTACATGTATATGAAACGGAACACATTTGTGTGTGCTTTGAAAAACACAAGTGTGGATCTGGAAATACAAGTGTGAATCCTTCTGTGTGCATGTGTGTATTATGAGACTGTTCTGAGCCCATATTCATTGCGTGCTCAGGATAGAGGCACAAATATAACGCCATAGGTAACCTGAGAGCGTTTACTCGCTGCGCAGAGGGCGGATCTGACGCTTGTAAAGTGTTTCGAGCAGGTGGTGAGTAATGACAAAGCAAGGGGTGAGAAGGTAGCTTATGTACTGGATAAAGAGATATTTGTGCGTAAATGGTCCCTCACTGCTACTGCTGAAGCCGACTGGAGTGTAGTGCATCAGGTAGTTGTGCCAGCACCCTACCGTCAACATGTACTATCCGTAGCCCATGAAAGCCAATGGTCAGGACACTTGGGCGTGACTAAAACATATCAGATCATCCACAATCATTTCTTTTGGCCAGGTTTAAAGAAGGATGTCTCTAACTTTTGCCACTGCTGTCATGTGTGTCAGGTTGTCGGTAAGCCTAATCAGAACATTCCTCAGGCTCCGTTACATCCTATACCTGCCATAGGTGAGTCATTTGACAGGGTGTTAATAGATTGTGTTGGCCCTCTACCACGTACAAAAAAGGGTCAACAGTATTTACTCACCATAATGTGTACGTCCACTCATTTCCCTGAAGCTATTCCGCTACGCAGCATTACTTCCGCCGCCGTAGTCAAGGCTTTGACAAAGTTGTTTTCCATGTTTGGAATCCCGCGTGTAATCCAGAGCGACCAAGAGACAAACTTTAAGTCCAAGCTGTTCAAACAGGTCCTTCAAACACTGCAGGTGAAACACGTTATATCCAGTGCATACCACCCAGAGTCACAGGGTGCGTTAGAACGGTGGCATCAGACACTAAAAAGTATGCTGCGAAAATATTGCATGGAAACAAACAAAAACTGGGATGAGGGAATCCCCTTCGTTTTGTTCGCAGCCCGTTAAGCTATTCAGGAATCGTTAGGATTCAGTCCCGCAGAGCTTGTTTTCGGCCACACGCCCCGCGGTCCACTTAAAATCCTACACGATGAGTTTCTCTCGGTTAGTTCTCCTCCAGATAAGAACGTATTAGATTACGTTAGTCAGTTTCGTGAGCGTTTGCACCGGGCAAACTCACTCGCCAGAGAGTCGTTCTCCGCTTCTCAAGCCGTTATGAAGTGTAATTATGACCGTGCCGCTGTCCATAGGCACTTCGAAATAGGTGATAAGGTCCTTGCACTATTGCCTATCCCATGTAAAACGCGTGTCTGTCATGTCAATATGCTAAAGCTTTACCATTCTCGCACCGCCGCTGATAGCCAGCCTGCAGGCTTGGATAATGAAAGAGTCGCTGTTTCCGCGTTGATAGTTACAGATAGTTCCGGTCCATCTGACGACGGTTTGGTGATGCGTTCACATCATCAGCCGGGTGCCCGATTATGTAACTCTGAGATGATAAAGACGTTAAATAATCTGCAGGAGGGGCAACAGCATGACATAACTCAGTTAGTGGCTTGTTTCTCATG